TATTGTTTCGTTCCCCCTTAATATTATTTCGTTCCCTCGTAATACATGATTTCGTTCTCTCGAAATATTGATTTCGTTCTCTCGAAATTTCTTATAGAGCGTGATTTGTTACATTGTTTTGAACTTGACAATACATCTGTGAATATAATCCAAACATGCTTTGAATTACTATTCGTGTATTCAAAGCTTGATAATTTCCCATAATTACACCCTGCAATTTTGGCATTATTTCGTCTTAGTGATATTAATTCCAGTGTTAGTCCAAGACAGTGGAAATGTTATCTCTTAATTTTTGACGTACATAAATATATTTCTTATGGGACTTGCTATAGTAACACCACCGTCATTTAAACTTTGCACTTGTAACATCAAATACAAGTTTTTGTTGTAATTAGTGTCAACTAGTATAGGGGCCTACTTTGAAATTTCTCATTTGGCAAAGGAATAGACCAAAAATATTTTTGACACTGAAAAAGTCTACATTTCAAGAAGCAATTATTGTTTTAACTTGTTTTTTAAATCATCCTTGGCATGCATGAATATATTCTCACAACGGGGTGCGGGTGTCCTTCACGTGCGTTTCCAGGATTGTGGGGTTTAATGGGAGGGGGGGCTCGTGATCAAAAATATTTGAGGATCTTTTGTATTTATATAATTTTTAAGTTATCCATCTTTTGGGAGAAAAAATTACCCCCAAAATAAAGCTCCCCCCCAAAAAAATACACCTTAAATAACACTTCTCCTGTATCTTTTTCAATTATTAATTTCATTTTCCCCTTTTATTAAGAAAAATCACAGGGGGGGGGCTCAAGCCCCCAAGGCCCCCCAGGTGCGCCTCTAGTGTCCTTTTACTGATTACAAACATTCTGAATGCAAACATCAATAATGCAGTTGAAGTGATTTCGGGTTTTGACGCAATTGGTAGACATGCGCCAAGGCTGCTGAGAGACATTACAGACATGTACACTACGGGTTCATTGGTATTATGGCAAAAATGAAGATGGAAGCAAGGCTGTCAATTTCAAGTCATTGTAAGGATCTCTCGCTTGAGTTGAATGTACAAGTCCAAAGCTGACCCTGCATGTGTCTTGGGGAAAGTGATATCCATTTTCACCAATCAATGTACAACACGTCATAAACATCTTTGTCAAATAGATTGTTCTTTCTCGATGTACATTTGTCTTGACATGCATGCTTGAATGTGTTCATCAGACATCGGACACAGGCAGTCAATGGTGCCGTACAAATTCTGGTATGTAGTACATAACATCAGGACGACCATTTGGTGAATGGTCATTTCTTGATGGACGGATGAAGTGTCGATTCCACGTCGTGACTGTATTATCCAGATCACCCTGCAGTAACATACCAAATACGAGTAAATCAAAAGTTAAGATATTAAAACAATCGTTATCACAGCCAATTTATATTTGCAAAACGACAAACCGAATTCGGTTGCGCAATATAACCCGTGTAGACTCAATGTTGACAAAATATGTTAGCTTTTGTGTTCTGAGGGGACGAAATCAACATTTCGAGAAAACGAAATGAATATTTCTAGGTGACGAAATCGAAGGAAAGAAATAATAATTCGAGGGAACGAAATAATATTTCGAGGGAACGAAATGATTGCGAGGGAACGAAATAATACTTCTCAGCGGGCATTATCAAATGTTAATTAATACACAGTCACGTGACGCGTTTCGAGCAATAGGGACAGAAAAACTGTCTAAGGTATTTATGGATATGCATTATTGTTAAGCTATGATGATTATGGTTAAAATGTCATCCAGGGATTTTCAAAACCGTAAAGTGTTTCTTGATGTTCGTTTTTATGAAGTGTATTTTTTAACCGCGCACTTGTACGAAATAATTATCCAAACTGATTCTCAAGAGATGCATACTTTCAAGTTTGATTTTATATTTCACAAAACAAACTTCAAAATGTATCTTGAAAAATATTTGTTTCCAAAAACAGAAAGAACGTTTCTGAAGATGGATTCCGTTAAGAGTGCGCAATACTCAGCGGAGAATTGTTCTTGTCTCGGTAAAACTTTGATCAAGTCGCGAGAAAATGGTAGTAATAAAGTTGTTCATTTCATAAAGCAAGGAAACAGTAACAATCTATAAAAATTGGGCAAGTAGTCAACAAAAAAAGTAATTTTGAAAACATTTTCACTGAGCAAATTTTGAGTTCATCGACAACCGAGAATTGCACGACAACAGCATCGCAACAATATTCATGATTTTTGATGTCCCTTCATAGCCACCACCATCAGTCTCCTGCGAGAAATAGTCTGCTCCTATGGTCTGCTGTACACGTACCTCGCATGTACATGTACATGTACATGTTCACACGGTGTAGTACCGTATAGGTCATGCATGCACATTGACACACACACGTATATGTACATGTACATGTATTGATGTACGTCAGTACGTACGTGGTTGCGCAAACCGTTTTCTGCAGCCTAGGCACAGAGTAAAGAAACATGCTGCAAGCAAGGTACACTGTTAAAGGTAGGGTATTTTGTGATGTGAGTTTGCCTCTAGATGTTACTTTTTGCCCAGTCCCAAGTTAGGATCACAGTCGTAGTCCTCACGTCAACAAGTTAGACCAGCTGACCTGAGCTGGCGTCCAACCAGCTGGCTATGATCCTATGTTTTATTCCTCTATATCCACGAAGGAATAAGATCATGAGACGGCGTACGTAGATGGGAAATCCCAACTTTGGTTGGTGAAAATGCAATTTTAAATCAAATACATCTGTTGAGAAAGAAATTAGGCCTTCTGAAAATTCACACGACTCTCCAAATCCAAGATGTTTGATGGGCTACAAACACAGCCAATGGCATGCTTCATATTAATGCATCCAACATTTTCAATTGTTGGCAATGCTTGGTCATTGTTGGTACATGGTGGGTGACAATGCATGACATGTTTTTGAGAAGTTTCTGTCGACTGATTGAAAAGAGTTCCCTACATTACTTGGTACCCAGTCATGCCGGTACACAACAAACTAGCCCAGGTTGGATGCCAGTCTTCATTTCATCCGTAATGTGGTATGGTCAGGGAGTCCACCTGGGCTAACATTAACAACAAACCCTTGGCCAATGAGACTGGTCTGAAAAATCTGAAATGCTTTCTTAGTACATACAGTGAGCCATTGTAAATTCCTCCATGTTTCAATAATGTCTCTGCTAAATTTGACTTCGTAGGATAAATCTGATGGCCGATAAACCATCGCTAGAAAAACCGGTGATGTCTCTATGTAAATACATACATGTACATGTACATGTATGTGGAACTCATTTCCAGGTGGCAAGCTCACCAGTCATCTCCATGCCAGCATCATTCTTCAGCACCCTAACTTGGACATTATGGTAGCTTGCCTACCTTTCCTCATGGATATTTTGGCTCCCGCAGAACTACATGTACCTGGTGAGCCCTGAGCTCAGAAGGCAATGACAGTGTCCCACCAGCTACATGTACCTTCAGCATGCGACAGAGGTCACCGTAACGGTCACCTTACCCCAAGAAAAAACTGATCTTCGCCCTGAAACATGCATAGGGAACGAGGATGCCCACACATATGCACTATACCAGTGAAATATAATATGTGTGACATTTTGCATTTGATTTTACTAGATGTAATGTCACTGTTATTATGTGAACAAGCAATGCTCTGATTGAACCAGATGCGATATTCAGACCAACATGTACCCCGACAATTATGGGGGCTCATGGTTCTGTCTCTCTGAGAGGTGGAGAGAGTAGGCAAAGTACCAGTTGACCTTAAATTGTTCATTTGCCGTTTTGGGATTTTTTCATTCAGTAAGTGCTAATTTCCCTCCCGTTGTAAGGTGCATGTTTCAATGTGTATGTTTTTTTGTTGCCGGCGTATTTTACAGGTTCAATGGAATAAACAGTCACCTGTTGATATTGTTGGAGCAATACTGACTGATATTTTACCGCGCTGAGATTCTCACTCAATTTACAACATGTAAGACAGTTATTACATAAGACAAGCTAGAACAGATAGCGACTGGACAAATGCAATCTCCAACATGTGAGCTGCTCAAGAAAAGAAAATTTAAACAAAAATTGAAAAGGCAACGGCTTGAGCAACATGGCTTCCGCTGGTGAGCAGCGCCCTCTGACAGATCGTCTGGAAAACGTACTCCAGGGGTTTATCCCCGGACTGGCGACAATGGAGGACCCGGCCCGCCCTGTTGCTGTGGGGCAGGGACGGGATGCGATAATCATTGACATGCCGGCCGCAACGAGCCCTGCAGAGGAGAACAGGAACGGGGCCGGCAGTCCCAGTGAGGGGGCCAGTGCTGAAGGTGGGGATGGGGACAACGGGGAGAGGCCAGGGGGTATCCCTGATGGACACTTGAGGGCGCTCCGACCGCTGATGGAACGCACCCTTCCGTTTGTGCTGATCTTGCTGTTGAAAATCCTGTATGACCATAGGCTGGGTGAGTGACTACCCTGAAGAATTTTGGGTTTCTGTGTTAGTCTCAAGCCAAGATCCATCAGGGACCATTTTTCAACCGCTACCAGACTACATTTGCCCGGTAACCTTGCATAAAATATTCCCTGGGCACCATGCAAAAATTGACCCGTGGCTGACAAATGGTCCCAGAGCGAACTTGGCCTCGGATGCAACTAACAGTAACACATGTCTCAATGTCTGCCTCAGTAGCAGGTGCGGTCGTACTTTCCATTGACACATTTGTTACTTGACAGCCCTCAGCCCAATTTCCAGTGCTGCTGATCACTCAATTTTATGCTAACAGTGGCTCCGCATATTTCAGAGAGACTCTAAGCAGCAAGTGCAGCAAAAGGCGCGCTCACAACAGATGAAAACTTTGCTTAACTCAGGGATGTAACAATGGAAATCTATTCTTTATGCGGGCATAAATGTTAGCACAACCCCGCTAAGCACCGCCTTGAAATAGTGCTCACAGTTAGCAAACTTTTATGCTGTTAATAAGTGCAACTTTTCAGCTAACTCTTAAGTGGTGCTGTGAAATTGGGCCCAGGTTTTCAGAGACCGTGTAAACATTCAGCACCTTTCATCAGACCAGTCTGTTTCTCGTGATATTTCTTCTCCCTTGGTCAGTCTTGATTCAAAATGTTACAAAAAACTTTTTGGCCCCAAACCTGACTCAAGTTATTTTGCCAATTGAAAAGTTGTGTAACTCTATCCTGCCTTGTCTACAATGGTATTCTAAAGGAGTCCTCATAGTCTCGAAACTTCAGTCTGTGCTCTCACTGAAAAACATTTCTGGATGAATGGATTTGATTATAACATCCAAGCAATTCTTTGGCGTTTGGTATTCCTCAGGTGTACTGGTTCTCATCGGAATGGGAGCAGCCTTTTTCCATTTCAACAGCAAAATCAAAGAACAGATTGCTCAGAGGGTATGTGTCTTTGCTGTCCTGTAGTCTTTGTCAATCTCTTACTCGTACACGTACACAGACAATTCACCAGTGTCATACTGCTCAGGCAATCTAGCAATGAAGTAAGCATTTTAGTGAAGTGTCTGCTCTTAACACAGTGACTGCCGCGCATAATTTCACACGGCGTTCCCCATTTGCCAAGGGTTGTATGTATGCTCACATATTAACAGGTACTTTTAAGATGTCTATTTGAACAAGAGCATTTTACATATGTATGACCTCCACACTGCCAGCAGTGTATTTGTTGTGTTCATCAGTGATGCAGGTGTATTCAATTTACATTACAATAGCCTTTCATTTCCTATGAGTATACTTGAAGTGACAGAATCCGGTTAACCTGTTACTTTGAGTATAATCATAGTTGGCAGTCAACGTGTTAAGTTCTACCATGATCATCATCCCCCTTTGGGGAATGATAATTGCTTAACTTCTCAACCAAAACATGTGTTAGTTTAGTATTAATAAGTCACTTCCAACAGTGAATCATAAAAGCATGTCAGCCCAAGTTTAGATGGGCAGGTTCTGGAAGCATCTCCAACTTGGAAACAATGCACTGTAAATAAACATGTACCTGCAGTACCCATCAGGACTCAACAGAAGGGGCAAATAGAGAGGATGGCAGAGGATTAAATATAAAAACATAGTTCAGTGGGTATGACTGTTAGAACCTGTGCTTTTTGTCAGTTTGTTCTCAAATTTTTGAGAACGTTGTGATATTTCTGTGCAAAAATGTGAAGGTTTTGTCAGTCCTGAGACAAAAATACCATTTTCAGTTGGTAAATTTGGTGTTTTTCACTAATCCCTTTCTGGTGTGTCATTTCTGACAGGACAAGCGGAGCTTGAGGTCACTGCTGTTCATGTTTCTCCTGCTACCTGTAAATGTCGTCTTGGTCTACTATGTTTTTGCAGATCAGCAGCTGCCCAAATGGTGAATGTAACCAGTTTTCTGGGAGAGATTATACCCAGCCTATTCCAGCAACCTTTGGACCGAGGATTTTATCCGTGCTGCATTTTGACAGCAAGATGTGGCACTTGTGAAGATTATTAGATTCATATCAACATTTACTGCATCTGTTTTTAACATTCGAGCTTAATTGAATCAAATTAACCAGCCGTTTTTGTTCTAATTTGAAATCAAAGGAAAGCAACATATGATGCGGACTTCCTGCATTCGCCCCAGAATACACATGTAATACAGTCTAGACAAATTCGTTGACCATGGCAACACTATCACTGGGAGCTCTGTGATGACTGTTGTATGGAGCCATTGCTTCACGACAGCCGCTCCATACGAAATCAGCTCAATGCTTTCTGCCATTGAAAGGGGGCTGTCCAAAATGCGTTGTGAAATATCCCTGGATTCATCTATTTGGGCTCCTTTGTATTTCACCCTCCCCCCCAAAAAAAGGTTCAAATCACTTCATAATACTAAATTGTCCTAAAGTTGCAGCCAGAAAACACAAAAAAGCAGTCTAGTTTTCTAAATGTCAACCGGGGCATGTTTCCTTCACTGCTCAAGCCCAAATATCAAGTGACTCACGTCAGTATTAAGCACAGTTTGACACAGTTTAAAGTGCTAAATATTTGGAGTGGGGACTCGAGGGACTGCTCCCCCTGCACAAAAGTTATCCAGCAGGTACGTTCTTGCAGCGGGTTGCTGGAGATGACTGGATGTTACATGTGAATTTCAACTGTCAACTTTGAGAAGATAAATGTACTACTGGCAGCAGAAGCAGGGTGGCCATGGGGCCAATGGCCTCCCACTTTTTCAACTCATGCCTCCCCTTTTTGCAGAGCCTATAATGGGTGGGGTTTAATGGATTGGCCTATTAATGGCGGATACCTGATGGCCTAATAACTGGGCCCCCCCCCTCTTTGAAAAACATTCCTCCGCCGCTGACATGTATTCCAAAGTGAATCATTCTTTCTGTGCTAAGTACATTGTATGCATATGCCCATATGTTTGTTACATATTCTGGTGGATTTACTCATACTTGTTTCACATATGAAGTGTGGACTTTCCTTTGTTCCGTGGTTAAGGTAACTTGGGAAAAGTGCTCCCTTTTTGCTCCATTTTCTCCCACTAGGATAACTCCTTTGTTCTGGATTGTTGATAATAATTTCCTGGACTGTTCCTCTTCATTTTGTCACAGATAACCCCGACCCCAAAATACCTTTGAAGCTGTTTTTCAGAGAGGGGAAAACATTGTGTGGACATGTGCGAGTCCACACAATGCTATCGCACCCTACATTATGTGGACTTCTTTTATGCAGAGGTCCACACTATGTATGCCGCACTTGCATATGTACCTTTACACTCAAATTAGTATTTATCGAAATGATAATTGATCGTTTTTGTTTCTGTTTCAGTTTGATATTCCTAAAACCCAACTTTGAGAAAACAGATTTCTGGACCCTGCTGTGGGTCATCGGAATCACTGATTATGTCATCAAGTATATCACCATGGCAACCAAGTGTTTGGTCACTGCTCTTCCAAGAGTTTGCCTGAGCTTCAAAAGAAGGGTAAGCTTGGAGAAAATAAGGCTTGAGTTTCTTGTCTTCATATGAAGAGTAAAGTCTGAGATACCAAGTTGAATAATTTTATTTGTTGTGGCCATTGTAGACTTCCTTACCCTTGAAAACATTAAACTGTGTAAGCCTAATAATATACCTTATTTACAAAGAAGCCATTTTTGATCATGTTCCCTGAATCTAGCCAACACAATGTACATGTAATATGATAAAAGGGATCGTTCCGGGTTAGTTTGAGTTCCATAATAAAAATAGAAATTGTAAGCCTCGCTTTTAATTCTATATGGTCGATTTGTGAATAATAATAAAGTAAAAAAATGAATTTTGCAAATGCTGCATGTTGAATTAAGGTCAGGGTAATTTCCATGTGCATTGACTTATCCAGGAAGACAAAGATACATCAAATTAAAACTGAGTCATTTTGGTATAAGGTATAAGAGTTACTTCACAGGGACAGTCTATCCGAGGGATGCTTAAGGAGGCCAGACGCACAGCACTCAGTCTAAAAGGTCCCACAAGGCCTGCCGTTAAAGGTCTGGGGCCGGTTAGTTTCTTCACAGGTCGGCTAACCTCTGGGAAGTGAGGGGACGGTGGTGCTGAGTGTCAGGTCAAATGAGGGGACAAAGACGCTGAGAGTCTGGTCAATCACCTACATCCCGCCCTTTAATTGAATAAAGCCAATTTCATCTTAATCACTGGTAAACACTTCCTATTCTTTTTTTCCTTTCCAGGGTCGACTCTTCCTGTGCATCGAAAGCATCTCTCAGTTTTACCGGTTCCTAACTCCCGTCCCCATCTGGATGGCATTCCTGTCAGAGGGCACCGACTCACACTGGTTATTCAGCTATGCGTTGGTCCTTTTATATCTCATGGTCAAGGTATGGGGGAAAAAAAACTCCTCGGGAAAGAAAATGTGAAATGGAGAACCGTCTTCAGGTTGTCCTTGAAAATTGTCTGGTATAACATTTCTTGAGCACTTTGTGTCAAGCATTCATGTTAATGTACATTCTTCTTGCTCTGAGATGCTATGATATGTATTTCTTTTAAATGTGGGGTGAACATTTGCATGATAGTTTGCTTTTCTTCTAGAGTTGAGTCAATTTGAATAATGCACTACTCGAATATTTGACCTTCAGTTTGATGAAATATCCGAATTTTCGGCAGATTGTTGATCAACGAACCATACACAAAATCAGTTGCAATAACGCACACAATTTTACATTATAATCAATATAATAGCTTCTCACATCTCGGAGTATCTCTAGCCACGATTTAGCAAGATTTAATAGGTGAACAATACTTCTTGCCCAGTTGAAAATTTCTATTGCTTTTAAATTGTTAATGAATAATTTACTGTCTGAATCCTTAAAAGATTTCTGTCACTTTTTATTTAAGTCTGCTTGAAACAAGCCTCCATAGTGCAATTATTCTCATTTAAAACAAAAGAAACTGTTTTCTTTCTTTTCATGAATTTTGCATTTGAATATTCAAATTTGGAAATTAATATTGGAATATTCGATGATTGAATATTCGATCATTCTGATATTCGGCACAGCCCTATTTTCCTCTCCATTTTCTTTGCAACAGGCCTGTATAACATATTCCAAGATGTTCGAGTGTTTTGCAACAGTCAGAAATGTCCTGAAAGATTCAGTAAGTTAAAGGCACTCTTAATGCTTTGCTTTTTGCCTTGTAAATTTGGGATGCCCCCAGGTCTTGCCAACAGTTATTCCGAATGACCATGAAAAGCCCTCGGCCATTACTAAGGGATTTGTGTAGTGAACAGTGAACTATAAATGATTAGATCTATTGGCAGGCAAGGAAGTACAACCTGTCCAGTCATCTTAACTGCTAGCTCAACTCGGAACAATTTCTTTCTTATTATCAGCAATACGGCAGCAGGCCTAGCAGCGAGCAGATACAAGTCGTGGGAGAGGCATGTCCTATATGCCAAGATAACTTCAACAATCCAGTTGAGCTACACTGCAAGGTAAGCCACAGGGCCAAAATGAACAGCATCTGAAACCTGTCAAAGAATTTCTACACTGTGGCAGTGGAAGGCATTATATTTACTTCGGCCATGCACAGATACATTGTCTCTGAAGTCAAATCTTCTAAGGAACTACTGCACTTTTTTCCCCAGAAAATTTATCGCTGGCTTTGTTTGTTCATCAGATTCTTGTAAAATAAAAAGAGTGTCTGTTCTGAGCAGGATCAAGATGAGGATGGGGTGTGTTTTTACATAGAAAAGACAGTCCATGGGTAGGAACTCACTGCCTGCATGTGCAGGTTCATGTACATTTGATGTAGGATTGGCTAAGCGCCTGCGAGCAGTTTCCATTTGAATGTGCAGTATGTACGGATATTGTGTGTGTGCACGAGGCCCAGTTGAGGAACATTCCAGCAGCCTGTCTCTTGTTTGCCGGCGAGGGTGCACTTCAACTCGCAGCAGATAGCTTTTTCAGCATGCCTTATTTAGGACAGCATCAGAGTGTCTCTAAGAGCAACCACTCGTTGGTGCCTTATGAAGCGTGAATTATTGGAGGGATTGGTAGCATGCAAAAGTGTTGATCTGAAAATTGTTAGATTAATGTGATTAGATTTATGCTCAATGATTGTAACTTACAATTTTACAACATCAGCCAGATAATGGACGGAGGAATCATCTTTTTATAAAAACACAGTTTGAAATTAGAGAAATTAATTTAATGATAATCTGCATTTGTCCTATTTTCCTGCAGCACATTTTCTGTGAGGAATGTGTGACCATGTGGTTCGATCGGGAGAGAACATGCCCTATGTGTAGGGCCAAGGTGGCCGACAGTCCCCAGTGGCGGGATGGCTCGACTACAGGCATCATCCAGTGGTTCTAGGATCAGGCTTACTCTATGCCCGCACAACCAGATTGACGAAGGTAAGAATTTACTCTTGTGTTTTTCTACTGGTCGCATGTTTTACACATTCAAATACAAAGTTTTCAGAACCGCTTTTGGGAGCAGCTCAAAGTTCCGGACACTTGGAAAAAATTTTCAGAGGGCATGAACTGTTTAGATGAACACTTTTCACGCTGAAAATTGCCTGGGTGCACCAGGTGAACTGAAATGAGGAGGGATGATAATCTCCTCCCCCCCCCCACAATTCTTCTGCTCAATGACAGATTTGATCAAGTTTATTCTGTGGACTACGGCATCAGACACACCTTATGTACAAGAGTTTGTTTTTTTCTGTGACTTGTTTGCAGGCACACTGTGCCGCCTGACGATTTTGAGGCCACACTTCTACTTGGCCCAATGGCTCTTTACGATGTCATATTGCTAGAGATCCATAGAGGCAGACTGGAATAAAATTGGGTAAAAATGCGACTTACAAATTCAGGCTCTGTCAACTGCTTGCTGGGTTATTTTGGATATTAACTAGCGACGAAAGGGCTAAACATCATTTCCCTGGGCACTGTGAAATTTTAAAGTTGAGAAGTCAAGCGCATGCTATATAAACAAGCAGCTCGGTGGAGAGATTGTAATCTTCATTCAGAGTTTACCTGTTTATCACCCATCGGTTACCAACTAACTTCCCAAGAATTCCCATTGTTCAGCAGCTGAAGCAAATGGAGTGAAAAAGATTACAGGTTAAAAAAAATTACTAAAAGTTGGAAGGTCTGATGTTGTTTCCATCAAAATGTTGCTCAGATTAGCTGTGTATTCACCCAATTTCCCCCATTGCCAATAGTTTCATGCTCGGCTTGTCTAACTGTTCATGCATACAATTTGCATGTGTCAGTGTGTATAGCATTCAAGTTGTGTTGGCAGCAGGCTTTGCTCTTTTTCACTGGAACATCAATCTCTTTTGTGTTTCGCAAATACAACCCACTTGCTTTTACAATTACCTTAAAAAGAGATAATCCCTGCTTTCCTAGATAAAATATACCCTGTCTACTGCTCATTTAGAAGCTCCATTTTGGAACATTAGAATCCATGGTATCGTCTAGACTCTCTTGTTTTCCAAATCAATATTGCTATTTTGGATTTGGTGGCTTAAACCTGTAACATTTTCAGAGTTCAGGTTTATGTAAATTACGTCAAAGAGTATTTGCATAAGCATGCCTGATTGGCTGTTCCATGTATTTATGCTTACTTGTTATGCAGAGTGTACATGATCATGTTTGGATCATTATGGATGATCAGAAATAACTCGTACGTGATTATCATAGATCGAACTGTGTTTCTACAGAGGTTAAAGCGCCTTGGCCAATTCATTCGGGATTGAGTTCATTTTGGTTTTCCATATTAAGTGATTAGGATCAGTCCAATCACCTGTCGATTATGTATGGGTTCTTTGACCTCCTTTTTCTTGTACATGGTCTTTTTCCGGTTAATAATTGCAACGTTTCATTGAGGCTCTACAGTGTATCGACTTCTGATGTCGTCATAATTAATGTCTCTAGGAAATGGGGAAATATTTAGGACCGAGTCTCAAACTGATTGTAATATTCACTTTTACTTGTCTTCTCTATTGAAAATCCAATTGAACTCAAGCGTATATGTACAGCAAATACAAACATGTACAGTTATGATAATAATTCTTACCGTACAGAGCTGACGGGACTAATACAGTCAGTTTCGTGCATCAAAATTACAACTTAACCAGCTTTTAAAAATTTAAAACGTTTTTTAATAAACTGTTCATTTGTGCATACATGTCTGTGATACTTATGATTTTATTCATTTCTTCCTCGCTCATAAATCTTGCCACATGTTACTTCTTTCTTTGAGGAAATTACAAAAACAATTACATTTTCCCGAATGTACGAATAACAAGGGACATAAAAGCCAGAACGTTTGAAAAACTTTGTACCGTAAAAACAGCAACAGCAGAATTCATTGCTGCACAAGTAATGAATGTTTACCAATGCAGCGGTAAGGGTAATTCCACGATGATGTGGCAGATTTAATGGTCTAATCCGTGAGGTAAAGCCGAGTGGAATGGAACACTCAGCCTGTCTCTGAAGGAAGTTATTTCTCCAGTTTTACAGGAATGAAACATTCATTGTTTGCTTTATACAGCGTGAATAAACCCTTCCTGGTGAACAAGTCGTGTTGCCTTTTCCCTTCTCAGTCCGGGATAAAATTGCGACGTGATGTTGTCGCGCTCTGATCGTGTTTCAACAGGGGTTTCTTCCAAATTGGTCTTATCGTATGACAGCTTCCTGGTTTCTGTATGTTTGATAATTAGAAATTGCGAAAGTGCTGTGTTATTATTGCTTGCAAAATTAACAAGGACGAGTTATGAACCGCACCACACATTACAAGAGCCCACGTGATAGCACTTTATCAAAAGGCCGATTTTGTTTGTACAGGGAATCATTGTGCGAAACTTGAATAAAAAGAGAGAAGCTTGAGAACAGTATTAATGTTTTGTGAGACTCTGCCTATGATTTAGCAAAGTCAAATAGTCAAAAGGCCTAAAACAAAATGACACAAAGGATGTAATGGTTTGGATAAGAGTCTCGTCCCAGCACAAACCATCTTGACTTTTTTTCGGTTACTCGCGCTTAATGGCACTGATTTCAAATTCTTCAGGCGCGTACGTTAAACCGACTCTTCCCTTCAGAGACAGCGGTGGTGAGTCGTCTGGCTGCTCGAAGGTAAACTGATGCATGAAGTAGCTGAAGAAGATCACCAGCTCCATCTTTGCCAGGTGCTCCCCGATGCAGCTACGACGACCAACGCTAAACGGTATCAGCTCGTCTGCTTGAACAGCCTCTCCCTTCTTGTTCAGGAATCTCTCGGGTTTGAATTGATCTGGTTCTTGCCAGACGTTTGGGTCTCGGGCGACCGCCCATAGGTTGGAAAGGAGGAAAGCACCCTTGGGAATCGAGAAACCACGGAACTGGGTATCGGAGGCGGCAGCATGGGCAACACCCAAAGGAGCGACAATAGCCAGTCGCTGCACCTCCCAGATAACCGCTCGGGTGAAGTTCAGTTGCGATTTGTCCGCCATCCTGGGCAGGCGGTTGCGACCAACTACGGCGTCGATCTCGGCTTGAACTCGCTGCTGGATCTTGGGATAGACAACCATGTACAAGAGGGCCCACTGGAGAGTGGTTGCTGTCGTCTCTGAGCCTGCTGTAAAAAGATTCGCCACGGTTCCAATAAAACTTTCTTCACTCAGATGATTTTGCTTGGCACCGGCTTTGTCTTTAGCTTCATTAATTTTGATTGCATTCAGAAACTCATCGATGAGATCGTTCAGATTATCAGCATCGAATGCAGCACGGTGTTTGTCGATGAGACCAAGGAAGAAATTACGAAGCTCTGCAACATTCGATTCCAACTTATCAATATGTATGAAAGGCAGATGGCGAAGAACTGGGATGAAATTGAGGACGCCACCCACACCTAGCAACTGGAAATTTTCGCCAATTAAGCTAAGAAGTTTCTGGAAATCCTTTTCGTTGTAATCGTATCTCTTGCCAAAAATGACAGAGCAGATGACATTGGAAACTGCGTTGCTGAGGAGAGATTTGGGGTTAAAAGGTTTCTCGTTGAAAGCAGACATCTCCTTCATCAGTGCTTCAGCTTCCTCTCCTATCTTCTCTTCGAAGCTCGTTTTACCCACGCCGAAGCTCCGTAGAACAGTCAGAGAAAATCGTCGAAGATCAGTCCATTTTTCGCCAGATGCCGATGCTACACCTAACGAACCGGAAAACAAAACAAGACAATTGGTTAAGAGGTAGCCTTGACCAAGGTGTTGGGCGAATGTGGCCTACTGCATGTACACGATGTGTCCACCTGCTAACGCTCGTCAGGTTGGCGTAGTGGGTCTTTCTTCGCCTTCTAGCTCTGCGATCCGGGTTCGATTCCTGGTTCGGTCCACGTGTGGGTTAGCTTTTTATTCCCTCCGTAATTCCGTGAGTGTTACCCAGAACATTCTTCTGCGGTTTTCCTCCCACCTCTAAAACTGTAACTACTTTATCAGTATCTCTACGGGTTTCTTTAGCCTTGCGATCTGCAGTGCATAGGCCGCTTCTGAGGAGTCCTTGGTTTCATTGCAAAAAATGATAACATTAATGCCCTTTGAAATGTGTTGTGTGGTAATAAACAAATCCAGCGGAAGCCCTTACTGCAGACCCATCCTGTTCACATGCATGTGGTACATACGCTCTCCTCCCCGACCAATGGGCCTCGAGCTGGACCAAGAAAAGGCGTTGTTTTTCAGCACTGGATACTCCATTGGTCGGAACTGAATTTTGCTCGTTCACGAACGACAAGGAAATGCACGCGTCACGGTCGCGTTGCATGCAGTACCAACAAATTGAAAACTCCCGAACAAGGTGGCTCTCTTCAACCGATGAGGGGGTGCTTCTACTCGAGGCGGATTGGGTGTCTTGACTTGCCAAAGTGAGCTCGCGCTCAAGTTTTGTGGACGTTCCTGAGGGTGCAGACCACTAATTCAAGTGAGAATTACTGGCCAGCTCATGAGCATTAAAAGTGCCCTCCACAGTATCTTTTGAAAAAGGAGATTGTTTGGCCGCCCCCAAAATGGTGAGATTGTGTAAATCGTTGCAGGATCAACTCCCTGGGTCTTTGAGCTTTCACATGAGAGTAGAATGGCTACGGTTGAAAAATGGTCCTAAATGCCCGAGTAAGTTGAGGGTTGCCACTTGAAAAATGGCTGCAATCAGACTTCGGAAAAATCATTTTTCGGGGGGTGATTTGTTTTGTGGGAATAATTAAGCATGTAATTGGTTAACCCACAAAACAATTTAAAAGAACTGAAAGATTAGTGACCAGACAATAATTTCATTTGTGTTTCAGAAATCTCAGGGATGCTGGCATGCATGTTATTGGGCCCTGAACAGTGCCGACTTTACGCTCTTTTCAATGGGGCCTGAATAGTGAACTGTACTGTACACCCCTGCAATGGCCTCGCAGGAGTGGCGTCTCGAAAGGCCACGCGTGATACGTACACTCACACGTACAATGTACGTATACACCCAATTGTACGTATACAGTTCATGTACGGGCACTGTTCTCATGCATTGCGCTACGTAACTGTACTGTGCGTTGTGTCTGTATGCGCAGCCTGCTTTGTGGGTTTGTCTGATACCTTGTTTTTTCCCCCTGGTCTATGGTTTGTCTCAGTACCTAAAGCGTATGGGGTTGGTGCGCCCCACGGTGGCTTGTTTGCCGAGTGTGCTGTGGGACCTGTGCGTGAAGTATGGTAATCTTCCTTCGACTATAAAAAGTGCCGACACCGCCTTGGACAAGGCTAGGGAAAAGGGGAATAACTAAACATGTGAACCCAAGGTCGTTCCACAGGCCGTTCACCAGTAAAGGCACTGAGAGATTTTGACCTTTTGGACAGTCTAAGAAATTTCATGTCAGCCTTTTCTCAAATTACCTTCACTTCTGAAGAGCTCAGTGAAGAGCATCTTAGGTCTGTCATTCAGCTGAAGATGCTGGAAAGCTTCCTTCACGGAAGTGTAGTCATTGAGGACCACCACCGTCTTGTTGAGGACCCTTACTTGAAACACGGGCCCGTACTTGGCAGCATAGCTCATAAAGAGATCGTGGGGCAGCACGCCCCGTCGCATTTCACGTACGATGGCCGGAATAGAGCCGATGAGTGGGAATCCCCAGGGGCCAGGAGGGAGATTCTTAGGTCGCCCGAAGAACCAGCGAAAAACAAGGAGAACAGCCAAGCACATCAACACCGCGCGGACGTTTAGGAACCACAATGCATCCTGAAGATGGGACATGGTTTCCGCTGTCGCTGACGGACCGAGCTGATTCTGTTAAATTCAAAATTACTGAACTTAAAATTGATCGAGATTCAGAAACTCAGTGTGTGTCGCAGATGCAACAAGCCAGCGACTGATTTCAGTGAAGCCGTAGGGTATCACACCAGTGACGTAGCTAGGATTTTAATAGGGGGCGGGTCAAAAGGGGCAGCAGCATCTTGTGAGGGGCATTGGCTTTCAGTGGTGTAGTTTTTTTTAGGGGGGAAGCTTTTATTAGCCTTGTTCAATCCATTCAGTATGGCAAACTGTGATTTTATGTCTTTTTTAGTGGTTGTACCTGGGAGGCACGTGCCCCCAGCCCCCCCCCCCCATGGCTACGCCCTTGTATCACAGGAATCCAGGGACCTATGATTCTGCATTATTCGTTACCTCCTAATAGTTACAGATCGCCTTGGCAGGCTGGAGAAGCCAATCAAAAAGAAGATTATGCAACCCTCATGAAGGTCTGCTGTACTCCCTTGCACCACGTTATTGTTTGTAATTCTTTGTAATAAGCTCACAGCAAAGAGCCCATTCGTGAAGCCCTCGCATTATACTCACTGTCTGGACTCTGTTCAGTATTAGAGAGGTTATGCACGGCAGCCGTCTTCCCGGGCAATGCTTTTGTTATGGGGATATGCGCAAAAAGTGCACTCATGTGTATCCCTACAGAACAAACACTGACCGGGAAGATGGCTGCCATACATAACCTCTATGTGAAAAAATCAGTCTTGTAAGATGACTTTTCATTCTTCTGCGTGACACCACATCTATTATTGAGGGCGCCGATGCGTTGCTCAAATGAGCGTTTCCTGATCATCATTCTTTTCAGAGTTTTCCGACGTAAAATCACATGATTAGTAGCTCTTTTCGTTTCTCTGTAACTTCTAAGTTGATTTCCAGTCTATAAGACTCTTTGTCTCCTTAACCCATGGTCAACAGACCTGAATTCAAGCAGGTAATTACTGACATAATACAGGTACATGTGTGCATGTTTTGACCACCACGACCATAACTTCGAATAGCACTCTGCCGGACATTCGAGTAGCTGTATATTTTATCATCTGTCACATAGTAAAATATGTATTGTTTGTTTGGATTATTCCAAGGTGCAGTCTTGAAAGGTATTTTCCAAATTGTATCTCGTGCTAAAGCTTTGGTGCATGATTCCTTTGTGATGGCAAACGTGACTCAAAGGAAAAATTAAAGTGATAAGTTGTCATTTCTTTATCTACAAAAATGCTTCTGTGGAGGCTTGGTCGACCAAAAACTTTAATACCATACAACCGAATAGTCGAATATTTAGTCTAATTGCAGGTCAAATTTTCGAATAGTCAATGATTTGATCTGACTTAGTCTAATTTCCAACTACTTGCTTGGATTCATTATTCACGGATTCTTGTGGACTATTACACAATTCACCTGTATGTGCTTTTTTTTTACTTCTTTCATCTTTCACATTTCGTTCTCCTTCTTTGGTTCACCCTTCTGCTGTCGTTGTCGTGTCGAAGTACACAGTTCACTCTCCCTGAAAATGTATTTTCTCTGAGGCCTCAAATAGCTTGTTAGAAACTATACACCTAAAATCTTTGGTGCCCTCTGGTCTCGCGTGTACCCACACTTCGTTTGAAATCCAGTCTAGCATGGAAAGGAACTCGCAGGTCTTATGTCTTCTTTTCATTAGACAGCACGAGAATAGAAATTTTCGTAATTTGTTCAGAAACATAAAACAGCTCCAGTGGTTTTTTTTCTAATTTGTAATTAAGCTTCAGCAGGCCCTGATTCGAGAAAGTTAGCGCAAGATTTGTTATCCTTAATTATTTTTGTCAGTTTTTAATACATGGGGTCGGAGGAATCATGGGAAAGAGGTTGGATACCTAAAGGATCACTTCCGCGTCAAACCTAAAAATACTACATCGTGTGTGTCGTGTGTCAGAAGAGCTTGTCACGTGTCTAATGTTTTCCGAATTATTCTCTACCGACAACATCGTGTTACATGATTGCTGGCTCGCTCTTTTGTATGGTTCAGCCTCCCCCATCAAAAACCGTCCCCGTGGGCCTTTGTTACGGTAGTCATTCAGATGCCACCCCCCCAGCGAATATTTTTGGTAAACAGTGTCTAGTTGTATACCGAGATCGTTCTATTCGTGTAGGCCTATTCAGTGGATTTAAGATCAAATTGAACATTTTATACTGAATATGCTTGCCTGGGTTGTCGAGCGCTTCAACCGCATACAAAACTCGAATACTCGTGGATTCTTCTCCGTTCTGGATATATTTCAGTGTCGATTTATGAGCCTACTAACTCTTTTGAAGGGCATGTCACCCTGATTAATTTGTGCATCCGACGTAACTTTATGCCAATATCACTTAACATGCTGATTTGGAAAAAAGTACATGAATTTAATGGGATGATACCGGCCTATTATGCTTTGTTTTACATTACTAAGACTTTTTCGCACTCCATACTCTTACTGTTTTATACGCACGGATCTTAAGTGGGAAGACGATGTGGGGCAATGGGGGTACATGTAAACCCATATTGCACGTACCGGTACATGTACGTGTCTCTGAGCAGTAGCACTTCCCTCAAACGTTGTCACTGTAAATAATGGGTACCAACGAATGTACCTGAAAGTGTGATCGAGAAATTATCAATTTTACTGAGGAGTTTACGGTTTCCCTATATGCATGTATTGACTGTTTCTTACTTTTCCGATGGAAGTGAAATGTCAGTGTAGTGAATTACGTCAAAGTTCACATGGATTGGTATCCGTTTGGAAAAGGCTTCCCTGGTCTCAACCTTTCCCCTACTTCCCACTGGAGAAGCCTTTACACGACAGATAATGAAGCAAACAGACGCCATTGCCCCCAAGGACATATTTTTAGTTTTAATAACAAGTGTATACTCCCGGTATTGTATTGATATAAAAACCAAACAGTCGAGAGGCCCCCCCCCAGGATTCGACAGAGCCAGACACGCTACTAACTGCAAATGCCAAACTCGCCTGTACTTGGACTCTTTTGTTAACTCGAGCGGCGGATCCGACCCCTATAATAAGTCCCCCGGAGGTTTTTTCTTTGTATTTTTTGTTGGATTTCTTTGTTCATTTATACCGCTGTACATTTCAATGGGTCGCTCAGGCGCTTCACCCTCATGGCCATTTATGTGCATGTGTGCATCATGACGAATTTATGTGTGAAAACGTCCCTTCAGGGATGATATAGAATTAAGATCCAGGATTCCGGAACCTCACACCCAGATCATAAAAATAAATCGTTTTTAATGGAAACCACAATCACTCATGCAATCACCAATTACAACAATTACAATTATGTATTTTATCAGTTGGATGATTTTTTTTTAGTTCTCTCAATATTCTGGTCGATTTCGCAAAAATCCTTATTTAAGTTATGAATCAAGTATAGCGAAGCTCCGAATCCGGATCTTCAATTATTTTTCTTTACCCGAATTTTTTCTCTGCAGTGATTTCTTTTAATTTCTTTCTTCAAAAGTTCTCACTAGTTTGTTACTACCGAGCTATTCAAAATCGACAGAAACCGTAATTCGATGTTAAGTGCCACAACCGAAAAAGAGAATGACACACTGAAATTACTTTCTATCTTATTAAAGTTGCCATTTTAAGAGCACGTCTTTGGAACTGGTGAAATCCGCGTATTTAGCGTAGCTGTTCACATAGATGCATTGGGAATTAACCACATCATAGATTTCTACATGGCAGAATCACTACCAACCTTTTAGGATTTGGTTTAAAGTGAAACAGTTTCGTCGATCCTTTGCATCAACCCATATGCTTGGTGACGTTTAATACAATGGCTCAAACAATCCCAAGCAATACCTGACATTTTTATGAAGGATTTATGAGAAGTTTTAGCGCTCTACTTTTTCATATTTATGCTCTTATAGGTGAATTCACTGACTTCCTGATATGACGGTTATTACCGTGTGATTCAAACTGTCACTACAGCGAAGTCAAAATATGGTCAAAGTATAGGCATCAGGATCGCTGACAAATACTTCTTAGAGCAGTCCGTCGCAGTACATAATTATATAACTACGGAAACCCTAATTTCGTGTCACGAAGCAATGAGACGTGAGCTCTAGCGTCCTGTTTTGGTTACTTGCGCTTAGTTGCACAGATTTGGAATTCTTCGGGCGAGTAAGTTAGACCGACTCTTCCCTTCAGAGACAGCGGTGGTGAGTCGTCTGGTTTCTTGAAGGTAAACTGATGCATGAAGTAGCTGAAGAAGATCACCAGCTCCATCTTCGCCAGGTTCTCCCCGATGCAGCTACGGCGACCGACGCTAAACGGTATTAACTCGTCTGCTTGAACAGCCTCTCCCTTGTCGTTTAGGAATCTCTCGGGTTTGAATTGATTAGGTTCTGGCCAGACATTTGGGTCTCGAGCGACCGCCCATAGGTTTGAAACCAGCAAGGCACCCTTGGGAATCTTGAAACCCCTCAACTGGGTATCGGAGGTGGCAGCGTGTGCAACACCCAAAGGAACAACAATAGTCAGTCGTTGAACTTCCCAGATAACCGCTCGGGTGAAGTTCAGTTCCGGTTTGTCGGTCATCCTGGGCAGGCGATTGCGGCCAACCACGTCATCGATCTCGGTCTGAACTCGCTGTTGGATCTCGGGGTAGACAGCCATATACAAGATGGCCCACTGGAGCGTAGTAGCGGTGGTCTCGGAACCTGCTGCGAAGAGATTTGCTGTGGTACCAACAACACCCTTATCGGTAAAATTGCTATGTCTTACACTGGTCGAGTCTTTGGCCCGATTTATTTCATTCAGAAAAACATCGATAAAGTCATTTAGACTGTCGGCATCGAAAGCTTCACGATGGTTGTCGACGATGTTTCGGAGGAATTTCCGAAGCTCTTCAAAATTTGACATCAACTTGTCAGTTGGTACGAAAGGCAGGTGGCGAAGAGCCGGGATGAAATTGATGATGCCACCCGCACCCAGCAATTGGACACTTTGACCAAGTAAGTCGAGAAGTTTCTGGAACTCTTTGTCGCTGTAATCGTATCGTTTGCCAAAAATGACAGAGCAGATGACATTGGAAACCGCGTTGCTGAGTAGAGATTTGGGACTGAAAGGTTTACCGTTGAAATCAGACATCTCCTTCATCAGTGCCTCAGCTTCCTCTCCGATCTTCTCCTCGAAGCTCGTTTTGCCCACACCGAGGCCTCTGAGAACAGTCAGAGAAAATCGTCGAAGATCGGTCCACTTGGCGCCAGATACCGATGCTACTCCTATCAAATCAAAACGGAAAACCGAGTTTTTATTTGAAATGTATTATTCAGGTCTGTACTACAAACTCAGATTACACTCACCACTCTTGAATGAAAAAGGTGCTACAGAGTTTAAACACATTTTAAAACTCTTTTAGTACGCACTTTTAAAAATGTGTTTAACCATAACATGTTTATTGCTACGCATTTAGGAATGTGTTGAAATGCTAAGCGGATTTCAAAAAGCTGAACATGTACCATGGAAAAGCGTTAAGCATTTAAACACATTCCTAAACACGTTTCAATAAAAACATGTCATGGGTTAAACGTGTGTTAAAAAGTAGGCATACAAAAATGTGTTTAAACTCGACATGTAAACGTTGTTTTTACAACGTACGTCCATATGACAGCAAGGAAAGCGTATACCCGATAGGTAAAAAGGCCTTAATCTATCAGTAAACTACTTCGATGATTACCAAATGAGATCATATAGAATGAATTCTTCAACAAGGCTGAGCGTTGTACAGGGAGTTATTTGTCTTCAATCCTTATTAGTTAGGACACTTACCTTCGCCTTTGAAGACATCATTAAGGAGCATATTAGGTCTGTCTTGCAGCTGAGGATGCTGGAAAGCTTCCTTCACGGAGGCGTAGTCATTGAAGACCACCACCATCTTGTTAAAGACCCTAATGTGAAACATTGGCCCGTACTTGGCAGCATACCTCATAAAGAGATCGTGGGGTTGCACGCCGCGTCGCATCCCACGTGCGATGGCCGGAATAGAGCCGATGAGTGGGAATCCCCAGGGGCCAGGAGGGAGATTCTTAGGTTGCCCGAAGAACCATCGAAAAACAAGAAGGACAGCCAAGCACAGTAACACCGTGCGGACGTCCAGGAANGCACAGTGCATCCTCAAGGCGCGACATTATGTTGCTACCGCAGAAAGATTGTGCGTATCCTCTAAGAATCTAACGGGGTGGGTCCGTTTGCTAAAATGACTTCAATCTGTCAGCAGCAGTAAGGTACTCTACTGTTGACTGGAACCTAGTTGGTGCCTTCTTGTGGTGCGTTAAAGCAAAGCGGAAGGAAATGAAGTATGCTGTGCTCTGGTGTGATTGTAGGTCAACTCGCCCCCTGGCCAACTCACCCCTTACCAGCTCGCCCCTTACCAACTCGCCCCCTTACTGACTCGCCCCTTGCCAACTCACCCCTAGCCAATTCACCCCCTGACCCACTCGCCCCCAGACCCACTCGGGGTGCACCCTCGTATTTAGGCCAGAAATATGTCCGTCGAGCTCATGAATAAAAGATATACACTCAAAATATTCTGTATTAGAGGGTCCTGAGAGCCATGGAACTGAGGAATTGAAGAAAACATGAGACTGAACCTCTGGGCCGGACTCAGGGCTTCCAATTCTGAGCAATTTGGATGCAATCAGGTTTGAAAGTGGCACTATTTAGCCATTTTGCTGAGGGATGGTTTTTCAAAATGGCTACTTTTCTGGACAGGGACATTTTCTGCATTTTGTGGGTGGTCTGCTTCTGGTGAAAATTTCTCAAAAATTCAATGGTCAATCCCCCGAAAATTGAAAGGAAAATGAAAGAGGACATGTGGAACATTTTAAAAATATTTGTGAAGTATGGGGAATTATCACTGCCGTCTATGGTAATTTATTTCTAGTAGTTTACCCCTCGCCTCCTGGCCAACGCGCCCCCCCCCAAAGTTTGCCAAGCATATATGGCCGGCCCATTCACCATTTAATTAAAAAAAAACACACAATCAGTCGGAGATGGAATCGATGATTGCTGCCCGTAAAATTAGGTTCTTGGGTTTGTAAATCTAATTCAGCATTATCGTGTGTGTGGGCCATCTGCCCAGCTGCGTCCCTTCTGCGGACCTCTGTCACATACCCAAATAATAATGGGGCCGAGGTTTCGAAGTTGTTGAACCTGAGGGTATGTTTGATGTACAAATAACCTAATCAGACAGTGGACGTGGGAAGCGCCAAGACGTTTGAATAAATAAGTGATTAGCGGTGATGTCCAAATATCCATCACCGTCCGTGAGTCGCTCTTGTCGCGTCGTTGGTTAGAACCGTTCGTTTATTTTTTTTTTACACATTGGGTCGGCCATACCTGCTTGACGTTCCTTAGGGGCGAGTCGGTCAGGGGGCGAGTCGGCCAGGGGGACGAGTTGGCAAGGGGTGAATCGGTTGAGCGGGGGCGAGTTTACGAGGGGGCGAGTTGGGGAAAGGGGCGAGTTGGTAAGGGGCGAGTCGGTCAGGGGGCGAGTTGACCTGAACACCTTTGGTGTTTGTTGACGATTGTTTCTATTCCCACTTCTTTGGTACATGTACATAAAGCTTAACCGCTCCTCTCTACACTGTGGGGCAATGAGACCGTTCGTACCGAAAGTAGTGCAAAGTTGACGTATTTTGTTGTTAATCTATAGACCTATTTATTCTCTTACGTAACATAACCCGAATTCAATGTAGGCCTAAACACTTCGATATCCCCAGCTATCATCTTGGCTTGAACCCCCTAGACGCCTGACAATTTAACGGACAAATGTGATGATTTTTCTGAGATAGAAATTTTGGTTGTTATTGCACAGACTTTTAGGCACAGCCAATTTGAAATGAGATCCTCTCATGATATTAAACCTAGTGGCTTCACATTCGAAGTCGACGCGCACTTACGAAAATGCCCAAGACATTGTTCTTGCTCGGGTCGATAATTTGCTGAGCTGAGCTTACTGATCAGTGCGCTTGCCAAACATTGCATTCGAAAACGTCTCCGCGTTGTGTTTACCCTCTGGATTCCGTCCATGTGAAAAATTCCGTTCGTGTGAAAAAATCAATATTAGAGTCTTTAAGAGTCAGTGAATGCAGTTTGTTACGCCATAGCGTGAGACTTTTTACCTCCGCTATGCTATTCAATTCGTGTATTTCGTTGTTGGCATCCCGATGAGTTTTCAGCTGAGCGTCTCATGCTTCTACAAGTTCTATTTTTGTAACGAATTCTTCATCGAACAGGTCCACTGAGACAGAATCACATGGCATTATTTCGTTCCTCGGTTAACTACTGAGTTGGTCGTGATTTAATCAGCTTCTTAAACTGTATCATAAAATTATCAGGGATATAATAATATGGTACAACTTGTCATTTTGCATGCTGCAGCAATTAGATTGGTCTGGGAAAATAAAATCCTCCCTTCAGCTCAATGAAATTAAATAATGCATCTTCCGAGAAATCGCAGAGCAGTTACTTCCCATTCCGATAATGAAGTACATGTAATTTTAATTTGCAGGGAAGACTTATTACAAGTAAGTGTGTAAGTCATAGTCAGATACAGATTTTCCTGTGGCTCAGATTAAGACCCACACTATTGTAACAAATGTCACCCTAAAGAACTTAAATAAGAATCTTTAGCACAGCGGAGGATCCAGGTTTGGGATTCTAGGGATGGGACAAAACTAGGGCTATTTTCCAAAAAGATCATTCAATTATTTTTCCCATTGCAAAAATACCCTCTTGAAATTTGTTGTGCCGTCTCTAAAGTGTTGCCATTTTCAAGTGTTAGAAAAAAACATACACATTTGCAATATGTCTTCAGGGGACCTCCCGCCTATTCCCCGCTTGATGTGCCATTATTCTAGCTCAATAAATACAACTTGCGACTTTCAACTTTGACATTTGAATCCTCAGTTTGGCTCGGTCGATCCAAGGCAACATTGTACTTGTAACCAGCCTGTGTTCCATTTGCACTCGCGTGATGACCACGCCTCTACCAAATATTTGACGACTTAATAACATGTATCCATGCTGCACAGATTTCTTGTGCTAGTGTTGATTATTGCATGTTTCTTCTCCAGAAATTACGGGTCGTGCCATTACAACTGAATGTTGCTGATTGTGCATAAATATTTTTTATACGACTTCATAACAATTGGTGTCACTTGTTCTTGGATCGTGTTGCTTTTCGTAATAGCTTCAGTACCCGGGAAGCATGGTAGTCTCATAGTTGAGTTGTTCACACAGAACATTGCAAACGCAAACCATCAGTGCAACCCTCGCTCCTGAGCGAAATGAGGGAATCAATCGGAACAGGTTACACCCTGTGGATGCGGTGTCAGTGGCAGGGTTCGACTGATCGTGGGTTGCTGAGAGTGGTCATTGAGTGTGTGGATTAACCGAAATCTGCGAAGATGAGTCGGACCGTGCGAGTACATGTCTATTCATACACTAATATTTATGGCTCGAGAGACCTATGCAGAGCTTGGCTTTATTAGTCACGGTCTTTTCCTTGTAACGTGCATTTTAAGTTGAAGTATCCAAGCACTTTCATCTATCCTATACGTAAACTAGCTTTCCTTTTAAAATCTTTATAAATATTTACCACAAAATTAGAAGTACTAGCCCTTACCTATAAAATGCCATAAAATGTGTACCCGTGGGTCATTTTGAAGGGTACAGGGTGACACAGTACCTGACCAGGTGACTAACCTGGTCAGGTACTGTGTCACCCTGTACCCTTTGTGATTGGAAAATGCCCTTTCTAGGCTACCTTTTAGTCACGCTTAACAGCACATATGTTAAATGCATCAGGTATGTTTGAAACCCCGCCTTTTCCCTTCAAAGAAAGGGGGGAAGAGTCGTCTGGCTTCTTGAAGGTAAACTGGTGCATAAAGTAGCTGAAGAAGATCACCAGCTCCATCTTCGCCAGGTGTTCACCGATGCAGCTACGACGACCAACGCTGAACGGTATCAACTCGTCTGTTATAGCAGCCTCTCCTTTGTCGTTCAGGAATCTCTCGGGTTTGAATTGATCGGGTTCTGGCCAGACATTGGAGTCGTGGGCGACCGCCCATAGGTTTGGAACCAGCAATGCACCTTTAGGAATCGTGAAACCCCTCAACTGGGTATCGGAGGCGGCAGCATGGGCAACTCCCAAAGGAACGACGATAGTCAGTCGCTGCACCTCCCAGATAACCGCTCGGGTGAAGTTCAGTTGCGATTTGTCGGCTATCCTGGGCAGACGGTTGCGACCGACCACATCGTCGATCTCGGCCTGGACTCGCTGCTGGATCTTGGGATAGACAGCCATGTACAGGAGAGCCCACTGGAGCGTAGTAGCAGTGGTCTCTGTTCCCGCCCCGAATAGATTGGCTACGGTTCCAACAAAACTTTCTTCAGTCAGATGACCATGCTTGACGCCAGCTTTGTCTTTTGCTTCATTCTCTTTAATTTCCTTGAGGAAAGTGTCGGTAAAATCGTTCAGATTGTCGGCGTCGAAGGCAACACGATGGTTGTCGATGATAGTCGTTATGAAATTTCGAATCTTTTGTATATTCAGTTCCAATTGGCTCCACGACAGAAAGGGGAGGTGGCGCAACGCCGGGAAGAAAATGAGAACACCCCCAGCCCCGAGTAATTTCACATTTTCTGTCAATAAGGACAGAAGTCTGGTAAACTCTTCATCGCTGTACTCATAGCGTTTCCCAAAAATAACAGAGCATATGACGTTGGAAGTCGCGTTGCTTAGTAGTGGTTTGGGGTTAAAAGGTTTCCCGTTGAAAGCAGACATCTCCTTCATCAGCGCTTCAGCTTCCTCTCCTATCTTCTCTTCGAAACTCGTTTTGCCCACTCCGAAATTCCTGAGAACGGTCAGGCAAAACCGACGAAGCTCGATCCACGTCTCACCGGAGGAAAATCCTACACCTGTCAATTAAAGGGTGTGTTTTTAGAACGTTATTATCCTGCAATGTTTTCTCCATAATACGGTTTGGTCTTTGTAAATCGTTAATTGTGTTTTAGCAAACTGCGGATACAAAACTGAGGAAGTCGGTTTTGAGAAACCCTGTCACAGTCAAGGACTTTGAGCTCCCCCAGCCATGGTCGCGTATTAAGGATTTGCTCCAAATTCAACCCAGTTGGAAAGAAATTATACCGTTGCATGTATGGACTACAAGATAGCATTTACGCAGAGTGCAGGGTCAACAGGCTGGAGTCGACATCATATTATTTGAATTAACTCTTTTTGCTGCTTTGTCGAAATGACATTAGTTGCATAAAAACTAGTGGAATATCATTTCTGCGCACCCAGTCCCCCTTTGAGCTTTAAATTTCAAAGTGAAACCTGTTTGCAACCTTTGTCTGTTTGTTTATTCAGAACTTAAAAATCGTATTAGCATAAACTGGTAAAAGCAGAAAGATCATTAGTTGTTCACCCCCGTTTACTAGTCCTATTCTGTCCCCAATCCCGGTGATTTCAGCCACCCTTGGTAGGCAATTTTACATTTACCATAGAGATTTCCCCTTTATCTTTTACCTTCACTTCCAAGCAGTTCTGCTATAACAATCTTAGGCCTGTCATTCAGCAGAGGATGCTGAAAGGCTTCCTTTATGGATGCATAGTCATTCAGGACCACAACCGTCGTGTTGAGGACCTTCAGATGGAACACGGGCCCGTATTCGACAGCATACTTCATGAAGAGATCGTGGGGCTTCACGCCGCGTCGTAGTTCGAGTGCGACGGTAGGAATGGAACCAACGACTGGGAATCCCCAGGGGCCAGGAGGGAGGTTCTTAGGTCGCCTGAAGAACCAGCGAAGAACCAGGAGGACAGCCAGGCACAGCAACACTGTGCGGACGTCCAGGGACCACGATGTATTCTGAAGAAGGGACATATTTTCTGATAATGCTGATGGACGAGATACGCTGTTGAATGCACGAGACGCCTTTCTAGAAGTAGAAATGGCTCGTCGTGTAGTCGGTCCAATTCCAAAAATCTAAACCTAAGTCCGTATGCAAACAAGCTACATGAACCGCAATCGGATAGGTACGTCAGACTATGGTATCGCAGATAACATGTTCGTAATGTAATTTCTCAGTGAAATGCACTGTTCTGAAAGCCGTAACCCCTTGATCCTGATCTATTTTTATCCACTAATAGCGATACATCGCCTTATTAGCCTTCTGCTCCAGAGTACCACCAGCCTCGGAACAAAACAAGACTTCCCCACTGAGCAAACTTGAATAGAGCATCAATGTTGCATTGTCACGTTTTATTCAGATCTTGCTGCGCCGGGGCCCACGGACTTTCGGGGTTCACAATGTCTGTAAACCTAAGCAAACATTCCATTGTATTTGCAGATAGGATTGCGTGTAGCATATCGGTGTTCTGGAGATCGAATTTCGGATCGAGGAGTTGATAACAGACTTCGCGTGCATTGTGCTCTCAGGCCTAGGCCTATGCACATAATAGATGCCGATGCAATACTCGATTTAGGGTCTCCGGATACGCGTAAATATCATTTTGGGGTCACTGTTTCATCAGTTAATATCTTCAGTTTTTCCTGTTTACATTTCTTTATTTTGGTTCGATTTCCAATCTTCCTTAAAGAAATCATCCTTCTTTTTGCACCCGGTGCCGACCCCAAACTGCTGCTCTATGTATTAATAAACTTTCTAGGGACTGAGTGCAATGTACTTACAAGTGCTCATAGGAAATAGTTCAATTCGTCGTTTCTTTGCATGTATATACTACTTTATGTGGCAATCCTGGGAGAAGCCTATTTGTTCTTTTTAATTAACATGTATTTCACCAAATACACGTGGTTTGTCTTTCTCTACGCAATCACATGGCAGTTTGGTATCTGTTTTAAAATGCCAAAGGAAAAGAAAAGATCAATGTGAAAAGAAGTCTTAAAATCTAATATCTCAATGCATAAAATTTTTTGTATCATTTCTTAGGCCTAGATATCTCTCGGCGAAACCCCGAAACCATTACTATCATTCAAACAATGTGGTGTCCGTACAACTTTTCAGCTCCTAAAACAACAAAGACCTCATGACTTTTAATCACCGCCCTGTCCCGAAAATGAGGCATTTGTTCTACCGAAAAGGTAACATATTCATGGGCATTATACAAGCAAGATTATGCAGCTTCCTGCCAGTAACGAGTTTTAGAGATTCTTTCGTAGCGTAAAGCGCAACATTTAACCTAACTGAATTAGCACTGGCAATGACCAACCTAATTTCAGGATTCTTCAAGTTATACGTCTATAAATACAAGTAATAAGTATGGTTGGGAATACTGGCTTGCACTATTAATACACAGTCTCCACTCGTCAAAATCGTCAGACTTTCAGACTCTGTCTGTTAGTTTTCTATTGGCTATCAAAATTGAAGAATGACCAGTTTGACTACTTGAGAAAATCAAAACAATAAGTGATAATGCTACGTACAAAATGAAGAACCAATCACAGAACAGAGTGCACTCGTGTGAAAAGAGTAACTGATATCCGATAGTGAGATATTATCAATTAGTACTGACTGAAATAAAAGCTCTTCTGAGTTGCTGCTTAATCACGCTTACAAACACAAATGTCATATTCTACAGGCGAGTTGGTGAAGCCACCTCTTCCCTTCAGAGACAGCGGTAGTGAGTTGTCTGGTTTCTTGAAGGTAAACTGATGCATGAGGTAGCTGAAGAAGATCACCAGCTCCATCTTTGCCAGGTGTTCACCGATGCAGCTACGACGACCAACGCTAAACGGTATCAACTCGTCTACCTTAGCAGCCTCTCCCTGGTCATTCAGGAATCTCTCGGGTTTGAATTGATCGGGTTCTGGCCAGACATTGGAGTCGTGGGAGACCGCCCATAGGTTTGGAACCAGCAATGCACCTTTAGGAATCGTGAACCCCCTCAATTGGGTATCGGAGGCGGCAGCATGTGCAACTCCCAAAGGAGCGACGATAGTCAGTCGCTGCACCTCCCAGATAACCGCTTGGGTGAAGTTCAGTTGCGATTTGTCAGCCATCCTGGGCAGGCGGTTTCGACCGACCACGTCGTCGATCTCGGCCTGGACTTGCTTCTGGATCTTGGGATAGACAGCCATGTACAGGAGGGCCCACTGGAGGGTAGTGGCGGTGGTCTCTGTCCCTGCCGCGAAAAGATTGGCTACAGTTCCCACAAAACTGTGTTCAGTAAGATGGCCGTGCTTGACACCAGCTTTGGCTTTTTCTTCATTGCTTTTGATTTCTTTCAAGAATACGTCAATGAAATCGTTCAGATTGTCCGAGTCGAATGCAGCTCGATGATTGTCGATGACAGTTGTTATGAATTTCCGCACTTGCTGCCCATTCAATTCCAGTTGGTTAGACGACACGAAGGGCAGATGGCGTAAGGCTGGGAAGAAAAGAAAAACACCACCAGCTCCGAATAACCTGACATTTTCTGAAAATAAGGACAGAAGTTTCTTAAACTCTTCGTTATTGTAGTCGTAGCGTTTCCCGAAAATTACGGAGCAGATGACGTTGGAAGTCGCGTTGCTGAGTAGAGGTTTGGGGTTAAAGGGTTTCCCGTTGAAAGAAGACATCTCCTTCATCAGTGCCTCAGCTTCCTCTCCGATCTTCTCCTCGAAACTTGTTTTGCCCACTCCGAAGCTCCTAAGAACGGTCAGACAGAACCGACGGAGCTCGATCCACGGCTCACCGGAGGCCATGGCTACACCTGTCAAACAAACGGGGAATGTTACTGTTTCGAATAGCATCATTGAAGCTGTGGGGCTGTGGGCAGAATCTAAATCCCTCTCCCTCCGACCTCACCTTTACATGGATGTATTTGGTGGGTTACGTGCACATTCGTGTGCCTTTGAAATACCAGTTTTCGATACCCTTGTAAAAATTCAAGGCAACACGCGTCATCGAATTTTTGCACACGATTTGCTGTGATTTTGGCATGAAATCGCTATTTGGACGAATGTGAAGATGGTAATTGTCTTCATTCACCATTGCTCGTACACGGCTCAAACTGATTTGAATCTTTAAAGTTTGAATAAGGATAAAGGGAAAACTCTTTCCGATTTGATTGAAATTTTCTCAGATTTGAAAATTCATCATGCATGATTTCCACACTTGTGAAGTTTCAACAGAAAATCAGATTCCTTTCAGGGGACAGCCGATTTCGGATCCCCCCATCTGGAGAATAATGACAAAAGAGTTTACATGAAATATTGCCATCCATGCAGATGACATGGTCATGTCAGACTGAGAGTTACAACGGGCGATATTTTAAAAGGAACGTGTGTTGTCACAGTGATCACACACTCTCTTTCCCCTGGACAACTTGTGTTCTCCTGTTTTATTATATCCTCCAGTTTATGGGTAAATGCTAGGTAAAATTTCGTATTAGCATAATATGCGTCAAACATCTCAGATTACCTTCACTTTTGAAGAGTTCAGTGAAAAGCATGTGAGGTCTGTCGTTCAGCTGGGGATACTGGAAAGCTTCTTTCGTGGAGGCGTAGTCATTGAGAACCACCACCGTCTTGTTGAGGATCTTCAGATGGAACACTGGCCCGTACTTGGCTGCATACTTCATGAAGAGGTTGTGGGGTTGCACACCGCGTCGTATTTCAAGTACAATAGCCAGAATTGAACCGACGATTGGGAATCCCCAGGGGCCAGGAGGGAGATTCTTAGGTCGTCCGAAGAACCAGCGAAGAATCAAGAGGAGAACAAGGCACAGCAACACTGTGCGGACATCCATGAACCACACAATTCTTTGAGGAAGCGACATGCTTGAAGTGGTGAATGAAGCAGAGGAAGACTGTTTATAGGGGACCAGGCTGTGGCTCAAAGAGGCAGTGCCAGACGCTACAGACCTTTACCGAAGAAAAACACACCCAGAAGAGCCCAGCTGATCCCTAGTAACGTGCGAGTGGAGTTATGAAACATGCATATATCCACTAGGTCAATTTCAACAGCGTATAATAGCACCTTTGACCTTAGACATTACGACGTGGCGTTGAGTAACAAAAAAGCCTATCCAATTACTCATCCAGTGTACCACGGACCACATGGAATTTGAACCTGGGTAGTACGCGAGAGTTGCCGCTGTTGCTTAATTTCCATTTCAAATGGGGCCCGGTGCGGGTTAATGTGTTTAATGCAGTCTGCACGGGCTAAATTTTTACTCTCCGACTATGAAGGTATATTGGAGCATAATTAAACACGTTACAAAGTACTTCAAATTCTATCAAACTACAGAGTTGCGAGTTTTAAGATAGGAAGATGGAAACCCAATCAAGTCCTCCATTTTAAAGCCTTATGTCTTGGTATTATTCGAAGCTGCATTGAACAGCAAAGCAATGTCAAGTGGCCTTTACAGATATCACGTGTATATTGGATAGGCCTACAGGTTAAGGAAATCTAGGTGTGCCTAGAATAGCTATACTTGTAGTAATACACAAGAAACTTTGCCCACTTCCTTCTTGCGTATGCAAGCAGTTGATCACTCATAGCACCTTAGTACATGTATGTTAACGTGAATGCATAATGTATTTTGTAAAACATACTGATAAGATGTACATTTCAGTGTACACTATAGATGACGACTTTTGTGGTAGACTGTCCCCTTTGTACCACTCAGGACTCCTATAGGCTGAAATTAAATGTATGACCTCTGAGCGTCCTTTGTATAACCCACGCCACGAACATCTAACAAAAGAAACACAGTGCACTAACAATGAGCATCCATTATTATTGCACCGTGCTTCTTTAGTTAGATGTTCATAGAGCCAGGAGATCTCAAATGTGTTGAGACATGCGTAGATTTCTCGTGACAGGAACTGGCTTCAGGCCAACCAAAGCATTGATGAAACACCCAGTATGCGTCCAAACCGGGTGAGACTACGCTTTGTATTCAGTTCTGATGTGTGGTGAAGGTCACTGACCGCAACAAACTTCGAACTTGTTTACTATTCTAGAGCATGCAGTAAGTTTCGCCTCACACTTTCGACAGTGCTGGAGATTTGCGACGTATTTCTAGTTCTCACTCAGATATCAACAGGTGTATTAGATCTTTTTGACTCTTGCATGGATTCAGGAGATTAGATGAATAACATTTTGCAATGCATATAGGTGCACACTTATGGGAAAATTGAAATGGTAACACATTAATCAGTTTCACCTTTATAAATACTCGATATAAAGTATCTTCTACCAAATTGTTGAGTTGCGGATGTGAAATTATAAAGCTATTCAGATAATTCAAATTTGAAAGCTTGTTTTTAAAAGAAAGTTTGGGGAATCCATTAATTTTTGTGATACCACGGCCATAAATAGTGAATATTTTTTAGTTGCGAATTGATCGCGTGATACGTAGCTACAAGCGCGCATGTATCCTTCACGCGTTGAGCGCACTGGCGATGTTGCCGGGCTACAAAACAGTGATGGATAACAGGGATCTTTTCCACAGTTGATGTGTCGTGACCACTGCATTGTAATGTTGTAATCTTAGGTACGAAGATGGAGAGCCGTGATGGTGCTATGCCTTCCGTCGTGATGCCAAAGAAAATCCCTTAGAATGCATGCAGTTTACTGATTTGTAATTTCTTTATTTAATACAATACTACAAACACACCCTCTCTTCATAAAGTGATTTTTATGCAATGGCTTATTGCCTTATTTACATTTTGCAAGCAATGCCAATTTTGGCATTTTCTTAACTTTAACCATTCATACATGTATTATTTTTCTGTGTTTATGGTTTATTTTGCTGTTATTCTTTATTTTCATAACGATTCATGTTGAGAATAAAAAAACGAAAAGCACTAACATTCAAAATAAACATTAATTAATCGTTATCCGCCCTTTTTAATTTTTTTTTAATATTTACTCAAATAGTGCCTTGTTAAAAGCAGTATATCTCTGTATCACGAATTAAATGTTCAGCAGTCAACTTCTTGGCGGGCCAGACATCTGAGCATGTAGGTCTGGGAGTGATTGCAACCCTTTGTGCATTTTGAAGGAGAAGGCCGATTGGACCGTTTCACCATTTATGAACGTGACATCGATGGTCCATCGGCCTTCTAGACTGCAGTGAAGAGGATTTAGGCGATGCCTGCTTGGAAACATCGAGTCGAAAACAGGCAGGCAGCTTATCGAAACTACAACAGTGGAAACGCAACCTTGGTTTGACTCATAGAGTGAAGCCAAGCGCGCGGTGTAGTAAATTAGGCATACAGGCCTTTATCATGGGGCAGCCAACTTGCTTTTTTACCATTCAAGGCAACTTCAAGGCTGTGTTACTAGTACCAATGGGTCTACAGGGAACAAGACAGACATGGCAGTATCTTGATAAAGCTCTGTGGGGTCATCTCTTGGGAACAATGCATCTGATTCTGATACAAAGTGTCGGCAACTCCTCGAATGTCTCCGTGGTCACAGTCTCGAAAGTGGAGCTCTAGAGAAAAATCCGGATGTGCTAAGATGACGAATGCGGCCGGGAAAATCTATATATATGTCAATCAGCACATAATCTATTGCACAACCTATAAAAAATCTGACTGCCCCGACCCCCACCACTGAAAAAATCCCTGGTTATGCCCCTTACTTTTACCTAGTCCTTAAATCAAGTTGCTTTGATATGCAAAAAGGCCTTTTCTCGGTTACCTTTAATCTCGCTTAAAAGCGCAGATGTTAAATACATGAGGCGAGTTTGAGAACCCGCCTCTTCCCTTCAAAGACAGTGGAGGAGAGTCCTCTGGTTTCTTGAACGTAAACTGATGCATGAAGTAGCTGAAGAAGATCAGCAGTGTCATTTTCGCCAGGTGTTCACCGATGCAGCTACGACGACCGACGCTGAACGGTATCAGCTCATCTACTTGAACAGCCTCTCCCTTGTCGTTTAGGAATCTCTCGGGTTTGAATTCATCTGGTTCTTGCCAGACGTTTGGGTCTCGAGCGACTGCCCATAGGTTTGGGACCAGCAAGGCACCTTTAGGAATCATAAAATTCCTCAACTTAGCATCAGAAGCGGCAGCGTGTGCAACACCCAAAGGAGCGACAATAGTCAGTCGCTGAACCTCCCAGATAACCGCTCGAGTGAAATTCAGTTCCGATTTGTCCGCCATCCTGGGCAGGCGGTTGCGACCGACCACGTCGTCGATCTCAGCTTGAACTCGCTGCTGGATCTTGGGATAGACAACCATGTAGAGGAGAGCCCACTGGAGCGTTGTAGAAGTGGTCTCCGTTCCTGCCGCGAAGAGATTCCCTACGGTTCCAACAAAACTTTTTTCAGTAAGATGACCGTGCTTGACGCCAACTTTGTCTTTTGCTTCATTGTCCTTAATTTCCTTGAGGAAAACATCTGTGAAATCGTCCAGATTGTCGGCGTCGAAGGCAGCACGATGATTGTCGACGATGGTCGTTAAGAACTTTCGAATTTGTTGCATATTTAAATCCAGTTGGTTCGACGATAGAAAGGGCAGATTGCGCAACGCTGGGAAGAAAATGAAAACACCCCCAGCTCCAAGTAATCTCCCATTCTCTCCAAGTAGAGACAGGAGTTTCTTAAACTCTTTGTCGCTGTACTCGTAACGTTTCCCGAAAATTACGGAGCAGATGATGTTAGAAGCCGCGTTGCTGAGGAGAGGTTTGGGGTTAAACGGTTCCCCGTTGAAATCAGACATCTCCTTCATTAGTGCCTCAGCTTCCTCTCCGATCTTCTCCTCGAAACTTGTTTTACCCACTCCAAAGCTCCTGAGAACGGTTAGGCAGAACCGACGAAGCTCGATCCATCTTTCACCAGAGGCCGTTCCAACAGCTATTGATAAAAAGTAAGTGTGTTTTAAAAATTTTAATCTGGCTCTGCTTTTCTTCTTCAATGGTTAGGTTAAGTTTTTAGAAATCTTCGTTTTTGCTTGAGTAAACTGCGAGTGGGGCTGATTACCAAAACAAAACTAAACAAACGGGGTAGCTGGTCAGTTGCCTCGTCAAAGCTTGGGAGCGACACACTCCCAGCCTTGGTCGTACATGGAGGGATTTCTCCTAAATGTGTCTTACTTGGAAAGAAATCTCTGCCCGTTGCAGGTAATAAAGCATATAACAGGGTTAGCAAGCTGGAGTGAATATTGCATTACTGAAATAAACACTTTCTCTTCTTGTACTGTCGGAAAGACATGCCATGACAACTGGCGAAAGACCGTGTGAGAACCTACCAGATTCTGGGCATACTGATCCCTTCAAGCTTCAAAATTTCAACTCAGTTTGTACACATTTTTGTTTGTAGAATTGTCAGGTAATTGTACGAGTGGAAGGTCATGGCTTATCCTTCCCCGTTGTAATGATTCCGTCCCTTTTTCATTCATTATGATATTATAATATTACCTTCACTTCCGAGGAGTTCAGCAAAAAGCATCTCGGGTCTGTGGTTCAGCTGGGGATGCTGAAAGGCTTCCTTCATGCATGCATAGTCATTGAGGACCACAACCGTCGTGTTGAAAACCTTCAGATGAAACACGGGCCCGTACTTGGCGGCGTACCTCATGAAGATATCGTGCGGCTGCACACCGCGTCGTATTTCACGTACAACAGCCGGAATGGAACCGATGATTGGAAATCCCCAGGGACCAGGAGGGAGATTTTTAGGTCGCCCAAAGAACCAGCGAAGAACCAGGAGCACAACCAAACACAGTAACACCGTGCGGACGTCCAGGAACCACAGTGCTTCCTGAATATGGGCCATGTTTTCCACTATTGCTGATGGATCAGACGTACCCTTGCCTAATTTCTTTACCAAGTGGCTCGTCTGGTAGGGCCAGTGCCACAAAATTCAACCAGTGTCCGTATGCAACAGAGTTGGGCCGCGATTGAACGGTTACGTTCAGCAGATTCTTATGCAACTTCCATATGCTCTGTCACGAAAGCTGGCCGTCACCCCTTGATCCTGATCTATTTTTATCCAGTGATAGCGCTTATCAGCCCGCTGCTCAAGTATTATGTCACCAGACGCGGAACAAAACAAAATCCCCGACTGAGCAAATTTGAATAGGGCGTCACTGTTTCACTGTCAGTATGTCACCCTGCGACTATATTCAGACCTTCCTACTGGTGCCCGGCCCCATGGACGCATTGCTTTGTTCCTTATTTCTAAATACCAGAGCAAACATTCCATTCTATTTACAGTTCGGATTCCATTTAGCATATTTGTGTTCAACAATCGATATTCAGACCCTGGAGCCCGTGATAGTAGACTGCCCTTACAATGTGCCCATCGGTATTATGTAATCGTAGCAGGTGCGATACTCCATTTGAGGTCAAATGTGCATACACTTTGTGGCAACGATTTCTTTATACAGTCTGGTTTCGGTTCTTAATTACAACTTACGGTTTGATTTCTAGTCAGTCCCCTTACAGACACTACCCTTCTATTTTGCTTTCTGTGCCGCCCCAAATGCCGGTCTGTGTATTTTACAGTATGGATTTTTCCAGAAATAAGATTTGATGGAATATAATTTTGTCGTTCGTTGTTCTGAACTACGTTTGTATGACGACCAAGGAAACGCTATTTTTGTCTATTCATTTCTTTATTCATTTCAGATAAAATATGGTGACGCTTACATTGTGCTATCACAAGACATTTTAATATTTGTACAAAATGCCTACGAAAAGATTTAATCAGTGAGTAAAGCAGTCTCAAAATCTCCTATAGTAATGCATGAGTTTGTGGTTTCCAATCCGCAGATATTTCTCGTAGATGAAAACTGAAAACCATACACCATCGTAAAAATGTGGACTTATGCAGATTTTCAGCTCCTAAACAGATGAACTCGTCACTACCTACACTCTCCCCGTATATTGAGCCACAACCAAAAACGTCACACATGGGCATTATGTATAGGCAAAAAATTATATGGCATGCAGCTACTTGCTAGAAAGCGTCTCAACATAATGTGTAGCATTCACAGTCCATCTTATCTTAGAAATATGGAAGGGCTACATAGCACCGTGATCAGAATATCGACACGCACATAATATAAAATCAGTGCTCTGGAATACGTGATTGCCGAACTTCCGGAAACTGAGTACCTTCTTCAGGGCAAGCAGGATTCAGTTCATTAACTGAATATGCTTACCCTGAAGTAGATAGTCATTTACCAAAAGCTCGGCAATCACATATTTCAGAGCACTGATTTGATATCACATGCTTATCGATATCCATCTTATCTTAACTAGGTGTGGCGGGAACTAGGCTGACAAGAACGTTATGACATTATCACGCAATATTAACTTGGCCTTTGCTCTAGGACTGTTATTTTTATCTTGGATTTCGCAATTAAAGATGGTTTAACTACAGATGAAAGCAAGACCATCAGCAATCATGCCATGTACAAAGATGGAGGAGCCAATCAGAAACTAGGTTGCACTTTTGATTATACAAACATAAGGTATGTACATGTATTTTTTTTTCTAACGTAATAAATGTATTATCCGAAAGTGTCTGATATGGCTGTATTGGCCAGTTATTTCTGACTGAATATCAGAAGGTAGCCCCATACTATATTCAGTCACGCTTACTAACACAAATGTCGAATACTACCGGCGAGTTGGTGAATCCGCCCCTTGCCTTCAGAGACAGCGGAGGTGAGTCGTCTGGTTTCTTGAAGGTAAACTGGTGCATGAGGTAGCTGAAGAAGATCACCAGCTCCATCTTCGCCAGGTGTTCACCGATGCAGCTACGACGACCAACGCTGAACGGTATCAACTCGTCTGCTTTAACTGCCTCTCCTTTGGCGTTCAGGAATCTCTCGGGTTTGAATTGATTAGGTTCTTGCCAGACATTTGGGTCTCGAGCGACCGCCCATAGGTTTGGGACCAGCAATGCACCTTTAGGAATCGTAAAACCCCGAAACTGAGTATCGGAGGCGGCTGCGTGTGCAAGACCTAAAGGAGCAACGATAGTCAGTCGCTGAACCTCCCAGATAACCGCTCGAGTGAAGTTCAGTTCTGGTTTGTCGGCCATCCTGGGCAGGCGGTTTCGACCGACAACGTCGTCGATCTCGGCCTGGACTCGCTTCTGGATCTCGGGGTAGACAGCCATGTACAGGATCGCCCACTGGAGCGTAGTAGCAGTGGTCTCTGTTCCGGCCACAAAGAGATTCCCTACGGTTCCAACAAAACTGTTTTCAGTAAGATGGCCGTGCTTGACACCAGCTTTGGCTTTTTCTTCATTGCTTTTGATTTCTTTCAAGAATACATCAGTGAAATCGTTCAGATTGTCCGAGTCGAAGGCAACACGATGGCTGTTGATGATATTTGTTAAGAATTTCCGTACCTGCGCCATGTTCAAATCAAGCTGGTTGGACGATACGAAGGGCAGATGGCGTAACGCTGGGAAAAAAATGAAAACACCTCCAGCTCCAGCTAATCTGACATTTTGTCCAAACAAGGACAGAAGTCTCTGAAACTCTTCATCGCTGTAGTCGTAGCGTTTCCCGAAAATTACAGAGCAGATGACGTTGGACGTTGCGTTGCTGAGTAGAGGTTTGGGGTTGAAGGGTTTTCCGTTGAAAGCAGACATCTCCTTCATCAGTGCCTCAGCTTCCTCTCCGATCTTCTCTTCGAAGCTCGTTTTGCCCACTCCGAAGCTCCTGAGAACGGTCAGACAGAACCGACGAAGCTCAATCCAAGGTTCACCGGAAGCCGCTCCCACAGCTACAAGACAAAAACGGATATATGACTGTTTTGAACGGTATAATCCAGTAGTGTACTGACAAATACTTCGCCGTTTGTTGGCACAGCAGGTTTAGAGGTGCATAAGGGGACGTAGCGTAAGCTTCAGATTTTAGAGACAAAAAGGCTGTTTACCATGTGTATACCGCAGAGTGTGCGGCTGTGTGCCAACTGTCCAAGTACACTGGCACATGTGCACCTGCCAGTTAGTAATTGTTTCCAACAGTGGTGGCACTCATATTGCAACTATAGCGTATCAAAAACAAATGCAACAACATTTGTTTCGAATTTTGAGGAGATTGTAATGTTTACAATGATGTACTTTGCATATAAGGTTTTAGGCCTACAAAAATATGTGTCGTAGCTTGTTCATCAAGGTACCGTCATTTTCCAAGATGGTTCAGTTGACTGAAGAGCAGAGAGTATATGTGGTGACAAAATCTAAAGATAAAAGTGCAAGAACTATCCCATGAAAGCCAATCATTCAGATACCACCCGATAGTGCAGATACGTACTAATTCACCTGGCTGCATTATGAAGACACCTGACCTGTTCATTAGAAACATTTCATGGGAGAGAGGGAGAATTGAATAGGATTTATGCTGGCATTTCTAACTGAAACTTGGTCCCAAGCCCACTTTGTCCCATTTTCCTGAAAGAATTATTATTCAGCCATCCGTGACCGTATGTGAATAAATAATATATCATTGGAAAAGGGAATCTGTGGCCTTAAGGTGTTACTACTTGTTTTGGTGTTAAACAATCTCCTGAAATTCAAAATAGATTTTATAGCTTTTTCGATACGCTCTATATGCGGCTCTTCCAAAGGTCAAAAGGGTCTGTAGGTATTTGGGAGTAATTATGGTGGTCAGAAGGAGTGGGCAGAAGCAGATTTGTGTAAATGGCACCTACACTTCAAAGGTTTTTTTGTGATTGCGGAATTCGGCCTCAACCTAAACTTGTTCTTGTGACAAATGCAAACTATGAACAACGTGTCTCATTGATGACGCCTAAATTCCTCACGTGTGAAGTTTCAACAGAAAAACAAGATCATGGGACAGCCGATTTTGGGATCCATCCCTACAAATAGAATAACAGAAGAGTCCAGACTCCCTTAGGTTAATTTCTATTATGAAATATTGCCCCCCGTGCGGATGCCATGAGTATTTCAGACCCAGGGTCACACCAAAATTATTTAAGAATAAAGTCGCTTGATTATGGACGAAAACTCTTCTCTACACGTACATGTAACGCCTTCCCCTGCTGTATTGCCTCTGTGTGGAGTTTTAAGTGAACTGTCAGTAAAAGTTCAAATTACCCAATGGCATATTTCTCATATTAGCCTACCTTCACTTCTAAAGAGCTCAGTAAAAAGCAACTTAGGTCTGTCGTTCAGCTGAGGATTCTGGAAAGCTTCTTTCACGGAGGCGTAGTTATTGAGGACCACAACCGTCTTGTTGAGGATCCTTATATGAAACACGGGCCCGTACTTGGCAGCATACCTCATGAAGAGATTGTGAGGTTGCACGCCGCGTCGTATTTCACGTACTACGGCCGTAATGGAACCGACGATTGGGAATCCCCAGGGGCCAGGAGGAAGATTCTTGGGTCGCCCAAAGAACCATCGAAGAATCAAGAGGAGAACCAGGCACAGCAACACTGTGTGGACGTCCAGGAACCACAGAATGTTCTGAAGATGCGACATGGTAGTTTATTCTGTTATCCGGAACGGTGAATCAATCAGTTGAAAGCAGGCTGTTTGTCAGGGGCAAGTTCCTCAACTTCCTGTGAAAGGTGAAGTGTCAGAAATAGCGGACCTTTGCTTAAAACACGAACACAAGAGCCCTATCCAACCTGAATAAGTACCGATAGCTATCTCTTCTTGGTATTTCATGTAGAGTAATGAAACCAGAGTACGTGTAGATGCGCACTACCACTTTTAATTGCGTGCGATTTGGTACTCCCGTGGCCCCAAACCAGCCTGTTTATCACGCAGGGTTGCTAAATACAAAACGTCTATCCCTTTGAACTATCCAAGGTAACCAGGTCAACACGGAATTTGATCCCACCGTAGAGAGAAAGGACCTATGCCCTACACATTGATCATGAGAGTTGGCAGTAGCTGGGTTTACCGCAGGGCAAGGGTCCTTGCTCTGTGATTTTTACCACAGTATGTGGTCATCCGTGGTTAAAGCGTGGAGGAATAAAAAATATCACACATAAAAGTACGAGCAAGTCTACGATACTCTCTACACAGGCCAATTCTCAACATCAATGGGTAAACATTTATTGATAATCACAACACTTTCAATGAGTCACTATCGTTTAATCGTGAATACAGAAATCGAGGAGTGCCTAAATATTTGAACAGCTGATATACCCACTTCCCTTTGGAGCCAAAAAACCATAATTATGCACAATCATGAATTCTGTATCATAACATGAATGGTTAATGCATTTGCAGTACTGTGAAAAGTTGTGCCCCAGGGTTGGTGACTACCGCACAGTGGACCATCCAGTTTCGTGCCACATTAAATTTGGACTCGGACTCTTAAACGGGATGGGCCATGTAGGGATAAATTTACATTATATGACAATTTTCAACCGTCTTATATACAATTCGATGGATTAGCCCCTCTTTTATGTTCTTAAATCAACAAAATTTGGTGTTTCCTGTGTGCTTTTTTCAGTCTCCGCCCTAGTCTTGGGCTAAGACGGCATAACTCGATCGAGCATAATAATATGCCGCGCTCGTTGATTTCTATTGCGCCCTCTCGTGACCTCATTTCACCAATCGACTGCTCGTTCTGCGAGCCGTACTGTCGATTATGCCAATTTGACATTGGCGTGGCATCATGAGTGTGGATGCAAACAAGCATGTCAGTTTTAAATCACAAACTTGTGGAGGAGTGAAAATAAAACATTTAATCAGTATCACGTATATATCATTGAAAACTCGAAACCAAACCATCGTCTTTTCACATATACGTTACATTGTGGATACAGAATATGAATCTATTCAGATCATAACAATTTGATAGCTCATAGGAATCCATAGATTTTGGGAATCGCTCGTTTGACTTCCAAGCTGGAATAAGCAGATCGTAAGATTGCTCATTTGGAGGACTCTACACTGCACCTTGAACGGTATTCGGGGAGAGACAATCTTCAATTTGGAGAATTCCAGAACTTGTTGATGAGTCTCCAGAAAATAAAAGAAATCCTGAAGGAAAAATGCAATCTAGATCCTGAACTTGAGAATGCGCAGCGTTCATGGCTGGATTCCAAAGTCATCCTCAGACAAACCCTGGCACATTCTGGCAAAGTTCGTATACCGCCATGAACGTCAGGCCATACCGCTACGACGATGCAAAAAGGCTCTTGCTGAGTGTGGGATATATATGATCAAGGATCTTCCAGCAGCAGACGCAGCAAAGAAGAGATCCCCAAGAGACGTGATATGAGCAAGGCGTATAAAGAAGGCAAGAAGCCAAACTTCCATAATGGCCAACTCTATATCAATGGACAAGAACACACCCCTAGTCACAATGCCCAGTCAATCCCAGCATAATAACCTTTGTTGTAATTGGTGGTCTTCATAAATATCGTCTCTAATGCCATTGATGACTCCCAACATACCCTGGGCATTTTCCTCGATCTCTCTAAAGCGTTCGATACTATCGACCATGAAATCTTACAATATAATTTTCTTTTTATGGTGTTCGAGGAATTGCCATAGAGCGGTTTAGGAGCTACCCCTCCAGTCGATTGTAGTTTGTATCTAGTAATGGTTTTAATTCAAACTCGAGTCCTCTTACCCACAGAGTACCCCAAGGAGCCCACAAAATAAATTTCAGTGGCCAGTGGCTCTATAAAGGGCACTCCCAAATATTAAAGAAACGTGTTCATTTCCGTTTCGTGGCACAGATCTCAAAAATTGATGGTGAGTTAACAAACCTTCCCATTCCCTTCAGAGAAAGTGGGTGTGAGCTGTCTGGTTTCTTGACGGTACAATGGTGCATGAAGTAGCTGAAGAACATCACCAGCTCCATCTTTGCCAGGTGTTCAACGATGCAGCTGTAAACGGCATCAACTCGTCCGGTTTACGTGCCTCTCCTTTGTCGTTCAGGAACCTGTCTGGAATGGAGTTATCAGGATCCAGCCATGCGAAAGGATCATGACCAATAGCCCATCGTAGTTTAAGACAAGGGCACCTTTGGGAATCTTGAACCCGCAGAACCTAGTATCTAAAGCGGCAGCATGAGCAATCTCCAAAGGAGTAAAGACAGTCAGTCGCTGAACCTCCCAGATAACCGCTTGGGTGAAGTTCAGTTTCGGTTTGTCAGCCGTCCTAGGCAGGTGGCTGCGACCGACTACGGCATCGATCTTGGCCTGGACTCGCTTCTGGATCTCGGGGTAGACAGCCATGTACAGGATCGCCCACTGGAGCGTACCAGCAGTGGTCTCTGTTCCGGCCACAAAGAGATTCCCTACGGTTCCAACAAAACTTTTTTCAGTAAGATGGCCGTGCTTGACAACAGCTGTGGCTTTTCTTCATTGCTCTTGAGTACTTTCAAGTATACATCAATGAAATAGGTGAGATTGACCGAGTCGAAGGCAACACGATGGCTGTTGATGATATTTGTCAAGATCCTTAGCGTAGACTGTCATGTACAGGAGGGCCTACTGGAGCGTAATAGCGGTAGGGTGTGTTTATGCCCCGAAAAGATTGGCTATGGTTCCGGACAAACTCTCCTCACTACGATCCCTTTGCTGCTCTGATGATTTATCTTTTGCCTTATTCTGTTCGAACACGCTTTTCGAACTGTGATGCTACAACTCACCGGCACTTTTAAAAACCTCCGTCAGAAGCATTATAGGCCTGTCATTCAGCTGAGGATCCTGGAAACTTTTCTTAACGGAGACGTAGTCAGTAAGGACCACCACCGTCTTGTTGAAGATGTTCAGGTGAAACACGGGCCTGTACTTGGCGGCATACTTTAAGAAGAGATGGGCTGCACGCGGCGTTGCATTTCACGTACGATGACCGGGATAGAGCCGACGATTGGGAATCCCTAGGATTCAAGAGGGAGATTCTTAGGTCGCCCGGAGAACCAGCGAAAACCAAGGAGAACAGCCAGGCACAACAACACTGTGACGACGTCCAGGGATTCTGACAAGATCTGGGAAGAGGTCATTTTCCTTTTGTTATTCAAGCTGAGAATGCCAGTGCATCAGACGAAGGCAGTACCCTGTCTTATATTTTGGGTTCCCCCAGAAACCGAAAAGAAAGAATCCAGGGAGGTACGTCTGAACTTTTATGTGAAAAGGTACATGTAATCCTGCTTGCATCCAGTTACGTGCTTGACCGGCGCTATTAACTTGTTAGTAAGAGTTCAGTGTACCTCAGAAAAACCTTGTCCTTTTGAATAAATTTTAATTACTTAATTTTAATTACTTTCATTAACATTAATCTTGTTGACCTGAACTGTAAGATATGTTTTTAAACGATTTGTAACAAAAGACAAAAGTTCCAAAGGTTATTTACATGAAGAAAATAAAATTAACTAAATGAAAATTGGGATTTAGGAACGGTAACCTAGCGCTTTTTATAGGTTCACTTATGAACCCAGCCTATTTTATTCAGTCGGATGAAGTCTGAGTAAAAATGGCTATTCGACAGCAAAAGGTTAAGGCAACATTTGACTTTTGAAACAAATCTAGTTCTAAAGTTCAAACTACTTTCGTTTATCTCAGCCTGTTTACAGTCACAACATGTTGCCCTAAGTTGAAGCCGGGGCTCTGTAAAGGATCTGAGGTCATACAGTATGGAAAATTCTCGACAAGAACTTTATTCGCGCTTGATGGCACAAATCTCGAAACTCGATGGTGTGTAATTTAAACCACCTCTTCCCTTCAGAGACAGCGGTGGTGAGTTGTCTGGTTTCTTGAAGGTAAACTGATGCATGAAGTAGCTGAAGAAGATCACCAGCTCCATCTTCGCCAGGTGTTCACCGATGCAGCTACGACGACCAACGCTGAAGGGTATCAACTCGTCTGTTATAACAGCCTCTCCTTTGTCGTTCAGGAATCTCTGGGGTTTGAATTGGTCGGGCTCTGGCCAGACATTAGGGTCATGGGCGACCGCCCATAAGTTAGAGATCAGCAAGGCACCTTTGGGAATTGTAAAACCCCGAAACTGGGTATCGGAGGCAGCAGCATGGGCTATACCCAACGGAACAATGAGACTTAGACGTTGGATCTCCCAAATAACCGCTCGGGTGAAGTTCAGTTCTGGTTTGTCGGCCATCCTGGGGAGGCGGTTACGACCAACCACGGCATCAATCTCGGCCTGGACTTGCTGCTGGATCTCGGGGTAAACGGCCATGTACAGGAGAGCCCACTGGAGCGTAGTGGCGGTGGTTTCTGTTCCCGCCCCGAAGAGAGCAATTATAGTCCCAGCAATATTGCGCTCGCTGAGAAAACCGTGCTGGACTCCCATGGCATCTTTTGCTTCGTTCTGCTTAACTTCCTTCAAGAAACAATCGGTGAAATCCTTGGGATCATTTGCATCGAAGATGGCACGGTGGCTGTCAATGATACTGGTCACGAATACACGAATCTCGTCGAAATTCGACAGCAGTTCAGCAGTAGGCACGAAGGGTAGATGACGGAGAATCGGGAAGAAATTTACAGCAGCACCTGCACCCAGCAGCTTGAAATTGCGAGCGAGTAAAGCCAGAAGCCGTGTAAACTCTTCATCAGCGTACTTGTACCGCTTGCCGAAAATGACGTTGCAGATAACGTTGGAAACAGCGTTGCCCAATAGAGGCTTAGGGTCAAAGGGTTTCCCGTTGAAATCAGACATCTCCTTCATCAGCTCCTCAGCTTCCTCCCCGATCTTCTCCTCGAAGCTCGTTTTGCCAACTCCGAAGCTCCTCAGCACGGTGAGGCAGAACCGACGAAGCTCGATCCAGGGCTTGCCAGATGCAATTGAGACACCTGTCGGTTGGAAAGTAATTTTGCATAATTGTGTCATTCTCTGTCCCCAAAATTTGTCGGTTACAGGAAAAACATGACCAATTATCTTTACCAATATTTACCCTCCAGATCTTGTGATAAATATAAACCTACCAAGCTTTTCTTCTACATTTCCACTAGACAATTACAGCATCAGTGCATTTCGACGCAATAGACATCGGTCCGACCTTTGAACTTCAAAGCGTCATGCATAGAAACCTGACCTCCTGACCCCTTTCCAATTTCCGAAACAGAATCTCTTACTTCCTCTGGTTTGCTGAAGTATTTTATTCTTCAGACTAACATTTTGACAATCGTCCAAACTCTTTTAAGCATGCTTTATTCAGATTACAGATTTTATTTCAATCATTTCCACAAAGACCATCTAAAAAGTGATTTGATCGGAGCCACAGACTCTTCCCTGAGGGGAAGTGTCTCTCCGGTTAATCCTATCGGTCGTTATCTCGAGTTTTGGAACATCAAATACTCAGTGTTCCAACTTTTGGGGCTTAGTTATTTCAAGCTTACTATAACTCACCGTCACTTTTTAGAACGTCAGACAACAGCATTTTGGGCCTATCATTCAGCTGAGGATGCTGGAAAGCTTCCTTCACGGAGGAGAAGTCATTGAGGACCACCACCGTCTTGTTTAAGATGTTCAGACTAAACACGGGCCCGTACTTGGCAGCGTACCTCATAAACAGATTGTGGGGCTCTATGCTCCGGCGCATCTCACGGTGGATGGCCAGAATAGAGCCAATGATCGGGAGTCCCACAGGACCCGGAGGGAGGTCTTTACGTCGCCCGAAGAACCAGCGAAGAACCAGGAAGAGAACCAGGCACAGCAGCGCTGTGCGGACGTCCAGGAACCACAACACACTCTTGAGAAGGGACATGTTTTCTGACTGCCTAGCTGCTGAATGCGAAAAGCAAGCCCGAGTGACTTACGGTTAAGGCTCCCTTGGCAAATTCGGGATTAAGCCGCACGTTTATGGCTACATATACATGTACATGAAGCCAAAAGAGCACACATGTAAATTCATTGCGACCTTTGGTCTACTCGATGTGCATATTGCGTACTACAGCAATAATAGTACGCACGATTTCTAGAGGGCGAGATTTCGACTGCGTGATTTGGAGTGGTTGACATTTGTCTTGGTGCACAGAACTCATAACTACGCATGCGTGAAACTGAGAAAGAAAAGGCTTTCCAGACGAGTCCCTATTTTATATGATATACTTGGTACATGTAGGCCTACCTGTTCCACTGTTATGCATGCCAGGTAGCCGTGTTTACTCAGGGGACCTTACAATACCATGACCTTGCAAAAAAAGTATCGCATTGTCCTGTCCCTTAGATGTCAGCAGTCCCTTTACAGCTATCAATAGAGGACGTGTCATTTGTCACTTGTTACACTGCAATGATGGCGTGAGATGTGGAAAGTGGGTTTGAGAGTTGATTTAAACAATATTCTGGTTACAGAGATTCTTTCAGTTCATCCCTATCCCTTGCTGAAGGTGGTAACTCGTAACCCATCTGGGACACCACTTTTTGGACAAATGTCTGTCGGGTCAGCCTCCTGTTATTGAATGAAAATGTATCCCCGAGGACAATGAATTTATGTTAACTGCTTTCAAGGCAAATCTACTTCCTGAAAAGAAACTTGCACGGAAACGCCAAAGATTCAGTGCGAATCGAGCTGAAGTGGAGTTCGGTGAGTGCAGGTGCAAGTCATGGCATGGTTTTAACTAATTTCCTGGTCAGGGCAGCGATCGTAGAGCGTAAACATCGGAGGCCTTTCATCCCTCCTCTCACAAGACAGCAGAATGCAGCTCAGACAAATTTTAGGAAGCTTCAAACCCACAAGTACATGTATAACTTAAAAAACACGTTGTATGATTGTTGTCAGTGGGCTTTTGTGCTTCAGTTGAGTTATTTAAAAATAGGTTCACCCAGGCGTGTTTGCATGCAGTGCAGGCTTATTGTACGTAAAGTTCCACACGTAACTTATTATATCCTGATTTGTTCTGTAAGTGGTTGGAAATCAAGCAAGACAATGTGACGTCAGTGATAAAGAATGGGAAAATGCAAACAATTGATACAGACTTTACCGAATCAACCTACACTGTGAGCCACGATTCTCCGCTCAATAAAGCGAACCACGTCTCTGAGAGCGCTTTCAACAGTGCCCTCACGAACTCGGAAGTATTTTTCGCGTGCCGTCTGTGTACCCTCTAATTTATCCACTTTTTTTCTCCACGTTTTTAAAGCAATGTAATTTGATTAAAGATAGTAGCTTTTGAAGATTTCTCGTGTTTTCGTTTTTTTTTTACATTTGCAGTATCCTACCCTCCTTCTGGTAAATGTACTTGGCTGGTTCTTTCTGTGAACTAAGAACCTCCCTCCCGGCCCCTGGAGGTTTCCACAGAGACGGATGGGGGGGGGAGGTTGCAACCCCTCAGTTCAGACACAGACTAAATGGAACCACCAGTGAAACGACAGTAAATGATTACCCCCCCCATAAAAAAAATCTTGGACGAGTATTGCATCGTCCATCTATCCATCTATAGTTAAACAATTACATCGATGGTCTTAGATTAGAGGAGAAATTAATATCGTAAGTTTTGCCGAAGTTTTCTTTTCATCAGGGAACGGGGCATGATGATTTTGAACCCCTTAGCAGGGCATCCCTTAAGTGTGCCCATCCCGCCACCGTTTCCTGAAAGCTATACCCCCCCTGTACCACTCATCGGTTCTATACACTGCCTCTTATTTGCTACGTTTGCCGAGGCGTAGAACTTTAAGAAATCTTGAGGAGGTACGCCGCCAAATACGTACCAGTGTTCCATCCGAAGATCAAGAACAATGCAATAACAGTCCTCAGTATCTACACCTGCATGAAAGAAGCTTTTCAGCATCCTCAGTTGAACGACAGAACCAACTTTGACATCGTTGATCAGTTTTGAATGACTTGTGTTTCCTGTACCGACAAATCTTTTAAAGCATTATTTTCTTTGGAGGTTTATCGTATAAGTTCGACGACGACTAATTAAATTCAGTCACGATCGACGGTATACTTCATCCACCCGAACCCTTGGCCTTGAGGTAGTTCTGAGTGGTCCCTCGTCTTCCGGGACGAGCCTTAAGCTGGGAAGATTGACTCTGCCACAAATCGTGCTAGCTTTGATCCCATCAACTTATAAGGTAGGCCCGAGGATGCCCACCACGTACCTTTGGAATATCGCAACCTTCCTGCCCCTGTTGACCTATACAATCATCCCCGAAAAGTGGACTTCGTTACAAAACGGACTGAGCTGTCGATACGGGCGATTCAAAATAGTGCGCCACCAAGAGTTCGCAACGCGTTGCCCAATCACGATAAACGAAATCTGTCGACCCAATACGCGTTTGGAAAGGGTCGACAGTTATCGCGCTTTGTGATTTTCCAATGCATTGCAAACTCTTGGAGGCGCACTTTTGTGAATCGCCCGTATTGGGTAACGTGCCTCAGTGCTATATTCTGGACGAGATTGTCCTTCTTTTATTCCGGTCCTATTCAACGCCCAAATAGTATTCCAAATTACTGCTGCCCAAATGCTAGAGACGCGAACAATGCAAGAAGGAAAGGGCGACAAGGTGGAATCTTAAAAGACCTTATCTCTTCTTCATATGCAAATTTCCCAGTTTTTTCTTAGTTGCCCCAGAGTATTGAGGGAATTTGCTTGGCCGTCTTAAACGTGCGCTTAAAGCCGCCTCATCAGGAGAATGGACGCGACCAATTTTCAGCAATTTTGTTTTAGAATTTTACTTTAATTTTCCCGTCTATTAGAGCGTGGCGAGCTGCGTGCACACAGACTCTTGTCCAATCAGAATCGATTACATTGTTTTATATCCAGGCGCCAGCGCGTGATTTACACAGCGGGCATTATCACTTCTCAGCGGGCATTATCAAATGTTTTGTTTTGGTTTTTTTTGTTTTTTAGAGATACTATTTTATTTCTCTCATATCAACTGAAATTCAATAACAATGACATACTAATGTCTAACAATACGTTATTTTTGTGCCAAATTGCCAGTAGTTGTACGAGTTAAATTGGACAAAGTGCAAAGTAATCTTCCCATTTCAACCAAAATTTCTGGAAAGTACCGTTTACTAAACTCAAGTTCGTTGACACCAAAAATACCACTGGATAGCCTTCTTCAAACCTTCTACCGAAGGCCTTTACTGGTTATTTTCATTTTATAGATGTCAAATCTAGAAATTAAAAGAATAACATAAGGCATTTAAGTCCAGTGTCAGTAACACCGAACAGTAGTAGTTGATTGTCTATTATAAGCTGAGTCTAAGTCTTGTCCATAATCCAATCTACCAATAAATTCCAAAAGAAACAACATAATGGCAGTTACAGAAAAGTTGAGTAAGGGTTTCCTCTTCATCTTTGCAGAAGGTTACAAACATTAGAATCTAACTTATTAACTTTAAATTAACGAAAAATGTGTTACAAATTTTAATGCACGGTCAAGTAGCGTGTTGTTGAATAGGCAGACTGTCAGATATGTATGAATGTTGTTTATTTCGGTCGACGGTGTGCCGGAGTCTTACTTGGCATGTACATTTGGGTTGGATTTTGTTTACGTTCTTGACCCCTGCGTTCAACCGACAAGCTTAGTGTGCTTTCCTATTACAACTGACTGTAGAAGTGTAGGTCCTATAGAAGTTTTTTCATTTTGACTTCTAACGGGCGGATGTCAGTTTTGACAGGTGCGAATTTTGTGGTCGGCCTTCGGTACGTAGTTGGATTCTGATTCGACCAATCCTTGCTCTGGGTTCTTTTCAACGCCCAGATAAATTTTCCAGCCATCCTAGCACAAATAAATGCTACAATGACAGAAGACAAGGTCGGAGTTTGAAAGAGACAGTGGTCTAAATAGTACACACAGTGTGAACACGAGCCTCTGAAGCTGATTATAGTGTCTCTGGATCTTGAATCTATATGTGTAAAAAGCGGTACGGCGCCAAACAACAACTGACGTTCCATAATTAATTTACAACTTAGATTCGACTGACTAAATGAAAATATCGGTTTGTTGGAACAGTGAGATTCGCATTTCGATGAGGTTTAATTATGGACTGACCATTTGTGTATTATGACATACAATGTAATAAAATGTGAAAGGGAATTTTGAAATTTCGTGCAAACTAAGTGGTGACTTAAATGTCACGTCAAATGATTGTGTTTTTATACAGTTTGGGTGGAAGCTAAATTTGCCTTTTCTGAAATTTGAAAGTGAGAAGTGCACTGCGCTGTTTGAAGTCTCTTTTGTAAGGAGAACCACTGAGGAAATAATAAATCATTGATTAAGATTGCTATTACTGGTTATGATCGATTTGAAATAATTTTACAAACGTTCTCTTGAACATGTAAGTGCCGTGACGCATATTTTTAACTATGACTTCAATCAGTGTAAAATTCGAACACTCTGCAATGTACCACGCGTGGAGGATATCCACGCAGATACCAGCACTGATGCTTGACTAGTTTAAAACCATCTGTTACCACTTAACCACCAGTGATTTCCCTCCTTTCACAACTAAGGAGTTATTCAGTCGCAGGCAGAGGGGGTGAACAGATTATTTTAAAGGCTCCACCTGGGGGGGTCAGCCTCGCCAACTCCCTCCCTTCTCACTCATTAAGGAAGACACAACTCGTAAATCTAATAAATGTTTAAAATTACATCTTAATGGCTATATGAAGAAAATGCTGAAGCTTCCTTGATGAGATTGCTCAGTACTCTCAAGTTCAAATTCCATTCTCGCACCCGAATTTGCTTCGAAAGAACATTATTCGCGGTTGATGGCACAAATCTCGAAACTCAATGGTGAGTAATTGAAACCGCCTCTTCCCTTCAGAGACAACGGTGGTGAGTTGTCTGGTTTCTTGAAGGTAAACTGATGCATGAAGTAGCTGAAGAAGATCACCAGCTCCATCTTCGCCAGGTGTTCACCGATGCAGCTACGACGACCAACGCTAAAAGGTATCAACTCGTCTGCCTTAACAGCCTCCCCCTTGTCGTTCAGGAATCTCTCGGGTTTGAATTGATCGGGTTCTGGCCAGACATTTGGGTCATGGGCGACCGCCCATAAATTAGGGACCAGCAATGCATCTTTAGGGATCGTGAAATTCCGAAACTGGGTATCGGAGGCGGCAGCATGGGCTACACCCAACGGAACAATGAGACTTAGACGTTGGACCTCCCAAATAACCGCTCGGGTGAAGTTCAGTTCTTGTTTGTCGGCCATCCTAGGCAAGCGGTTGCGGCCAACTACGGAGTCGATCTCAGCCTGGACTCGCCTCTGGATCTCGGGGTAAACAGTCATGTACAGGAGAGCCCACTGGAGCGTAGTGGCGGTGGTTTCTGTTCCCGCCCCGAAGAGAGCAATTATAGTCCCGGCAAAATTGCGTTCGCTGAGAAAACCGTGCTGGACTCCCATGGCATCTTTTGCTTCGTTCTGCTTGACTTCCTTCAAGAAACAATCGGTGAAATCCTTGGGATCATTTACATCGAAGATGTCACGGTGGCTGTCAATTATACTGGTCACGAATACACGAATCTCCTCAAAATTCGACATCATTTCAGCAGTAGGCACGGAGGGCAGATGGCGGAGAATCGGAAAGAAATTTACCACAGCACCCGCACCCAGCAGCTTGAAATTGCGAGCGAGTAAAGCCAGAAGCCGTGTAAACTCTTCATCGGCGTACTTGTACCGCTTGCCGAAAATGACGTTGCAGATAACGTTGGAAACAGCGTTGCCCAATAGAGGCTTAGGGTCAAAGGGTTTCCCGTTGAAATCAGACATCTCCTTCATCAGCTCCTCAGCTTCCTCTCCGATCTTCTCCTCGAAGCTCGTTTTGCCTACTCCAAAGCTCCTCAACACGGTCAGGCAGAAACGACGAAGCTCGATCCAGGGCTTGCCAGAGGCAAATGAGACACCTAACAGAATGAAAAGCATATGTATTTTGACATTGTCGTGTTATTCTTTAAATAAAAGTTCGAACCACAGTGTCAATTTCGTGAGATTTACCCTTACAACTTCAGTCTCCAGATCCCGGAGAGATGTTTCTCAGATAACGCATCCAATCTCATTGCGTCTGTGACTGTGAGGTCATAGCCTTTGAAGTTTGAAGTGTACCATGAATAGACCTTCCAATCCATTTCCAGAATTCAAACCAGAAACACGACCTCGCCTCTGGTTTCTCAAAGATTATTGAAACCAGCATTTTTACAAGTGTCTAATATCTCTTAATTAAGCATAATTAGGGTTCTGGTTACCCTCTCCCCCATACTCAAATTTATTTTTGTTCAAATGCAGAGTTTTGTCAGCCATTTTCACAAAGCACTTAGAAGAGGTGATTTCCAGTGATGGACACCAGATTAAGTTAAAGGTATAGGGTACGACAAACACAACATGGGGTAATTTCCCCCGTGTATCCTGTCACTGCTTCAAGTTACTGTACACTGAGTATTCAACATCCCAAATTTTGGGGCTCAGCGTTTATCATGGCAGTTTCAAGCTTGCTCACCGTCACTTTTTAGAACGTCAGACAACAGCATCTTTGGTCGATCATTCAGCTGAGGATGCTGGAAAGCTTCCTTCACAGAGGAGTAGTCATTGAGGACCACCACCGTCTTGTTTAAGATGTTCAGACGAAACACGGGCCCGTACTTGGCAGCGTACTTTATAAACAGATTGTGGGGCTCTATGCCTTGGCGCATCTCACGGTGGATGGCCAGAATAGAGCCAATGATCGGGAGTCCCACAGGACCGGGAGGGAGGTCTTTACTTCGCCCAAAGAACCAGCGAAGAACCAGGAAGAGAACCAGGCACAGCAGCGCTGTGCGGACGTCCAGGAACCACAACACACTCTTGAGAAGGGACATGTTATAGCTGTTGAATGCGAAAAGCAAGCCCAAATGACTCAATGACGGATTTGGAATCCCTTTGGTGAATTCGGAATTTATGAAGCCGTACGATAATGTGCTACACAAATCCACAATCGCATATGCATTTACGACCTTTGGTCTGTGCTGTGAACGTTGCGTACTATGGCAATGACAATACGTGCGATTTCCTGGCGATGTCCCAAGGTCAGGGCAAAATTTTGACCTCGTAAATTGGAGTCAGTGACATTCATCTTGCTGCTCAGAATACGCGTGAGTGAAACTGAGAAAGAAAATGGCATACGAGGCCCTTTTAGTATGATGTGCTCGGTACATGTCACTTAGCTATGTTTAACTCTGGGGACCTTACAATGCCATGGAGACTGTCGCATTGTCCTATATCCTTATGTTAGCGGTCCCCTTTACAGCTATCAATGGTGGACGTACAGTATATTGCACATGTCACGCACTACACTGTAATGTGCGCGAGACAGGTGAAATGGGTTTGGGGCATAAGTTTTCAACAATACTCTGTTTTCAGAGAACCCTCAGTCCATCCCTATTCCTTAAGTCTTCTCACAAACGTGGCAGCACGGTTTTGAAAAGATTCCAGTACATCAGTGTAGATTTCTTATGAATGGTGTCTCGGGTTAATTTATTTACCGAGAGAAAATATATACTCCAAGCACATCAATTTATGCTAGAGTTCTGCTATCAAGGCAAATCCACTTTCTGTGAAGAATCTTGGACAAATTTGTACGGAAACACTACAGATTTGGGGGCGAGTCGAGCTGAAGTGGGGAGCAGGCGAACGACGTCCGGATTTGTAATGTCTCGTAGCTATTATGGCGGTGATCCAAGGGCGTGGGAGCTTTTCCTGACTCAACTTATAAAACAGCAGAGCACTTTGATTTGGGTAAACCTCAAGCAAAATTTAGGGAGCTTCAAAGCCCACAAGTTCAACTGGCAATGGGTTGTCAGTTAAAATTACATGTACATATGTAGATCTTTTTCATTTGCGTGGATTTGCTACAGGTGAATGGGTTCACCCAGGCGCGGCCTGGCTTGTTTTGAAAATAGTTGAAAGGAGGCAGCTGGACAAAAAGCGAGGTCAGTGATGAAGAATGGGAAATAATCCACACAGATTGCCACACAGTGCATTGACCAACACTGTGAGCCACAGGTCTCTGCCGGTTTGTCGGCACGTCGAGCATATGAGGCATAGGCCTACACTGACTATCGATCAATAAAGCCAACTACATCAGTGGCAGTGCCTCAACAGTGTCATCACAAACTCTCAAGGAGAAACCCCACAAAACATTTTTCGTGTGCTACCTGTGGGTATATTCAGATACATGTACATGTATATTCCTGCGTGTCCACTTAGTGCCACTGTTGTTTTTCGTCTTTTATAATGGGAGCTCTTGAAGATTTCTGGTGGTTGTTCCTCGACATCCGCTGTATCCTGCTGTGGGCGTTTCTCCTCCTGCTACTTGGCTGGTTCTTTCTGCGAACTGAGAACCTCCCGCCAGGCCCATGGGGGTTACCACTCATCGGTTCCATACCGGCTCTCATCTGGGAGGTTGGCCGAGGCGTGGAACTCGAAGAAGTCTTGAGGAGGTACGCTGTCAAATACGGACCCGTGTTCCATCTGAAGATCCTTAACAAGACGTTGGTGGTCCTCAATGACTACACCTCTGTAAAAGAAGCATTCCAGCATCCTCAGCTAAACGACAGAACCAATATGCAGATCTATGTTGAAGGGGTAAAGGGTGAAGGTAAGTCCACCGGCGCACTCAAGGGACTCCCCTCTCTGAGGTTTTCATAATGTTGTTGGAAAAATGAAGATGCATTGAACACCACCACCTTAGCTATAAATAAGTCGTAATCTCAGTCCTGTGGCGCAGCTGGGGGGTGGGGTTGAACGTTACGAGTCGACAAATCCTGGAAGTGCCACTACACATAGCAGATTGGCTCTCTTTCTGCACGTATACATGTATATGCCAACCCTATATAAATCATGTAACGATGGCATTTTGGTTTTGACAGCATATTACTATACTTACAGCCCCAATGCAATTGCTTGTTTTCACCATTAACGAATTGGATGGCGGCGAAAATGTTTCAATCACGTGAGTTCAGACTAAAATCCCGGCTGCTGAATATTTCGGACCTTATATGACATTTTTGTGAATCTCTTCCATCAAAGGATGGAATGGATCAGAGTTAATCCACTGAATCGCCTCTGACATTCAAATGTCTGTAATTCATGTTCGGCCGCTACGGCGATGAATTATGCTAGAGAAACTCCTCTTGACCTCCACATGCAATCAACAGCTATGAACTGTATGGCCTTTCCTTGAGAAACTTGATGTAGTCAGCTGAGAAAGAATAGTCAGGTGACCCCTATCATCCAATTAACAAATTTTTTATTTCTGCTCAAAATCTGCCATACAAAATGTGCAACACATGTTGCTTAGCTACCAGCCGCTACATTGTTATTCAGGAGTCGCCGAGGGTTCCGTTACAAGGAACGATACAGGGAGTGATATTCAATGGCTCGGGTTTTGTTTAGTTTTCACATTTTGTAAGACGGGTAAAGATTTTAGCATTTTGATAGTAGTTCCAATTATCTCATATAACATTTCTTTCATTAATGACTTTATCCTCCAGGGATCATTGCATCATCGGGTCAGGTGTGGATGCAGAGCCGCCGATTCTGCATGAACATTCTCAGGAGCTTCGGAGTGGGTAAATCCAGCTTCGAAGAGAGAATCGGCAGAGAGGCCGAGGAACTGATAAAAGAGATGTCTGCATTCGACGGGAAGCCCCTGGACCCCAAGTCTCTCCTCATGAACGCGGTCGCCAATGTCATTTGCTCCGTCATGTTTGGCAAACGGTATGAGTACACGGATGCTGAGTTTAGGAGATTGCTGTATTGCATCAGTCGCAACGCCGAGTTGTTTGGTGCCGGTGGCGTCATTTTGTTCTTCCCCTCGCTTCGCCACCTCCCGTTCTTCTCGACAGCCGAGCTGAAGGCGAATTTTGACTTGCTGTTGGAGTTTCTGAATGATGCGGTCGACGCCCATCGCGCTGCCCTTGATGCCAACAATCCGAAAGACCTGATCGACATGTGCCTTTTAGAGATCAAGCAGCATGAAACTCAGAACCAGTCTCCCTCTGTGGCGCCCTCTGGAGACCTTCCCAATTCGTCTGCGTATATTAAGGAGGAAAACCTGCATAGCATTATCTCAGATATTTTCCTTGCAGGCTCGGAGACAACGGCCACCACGCTGCAGTGGCTTCTCCTCTATGTAGCTGTCTACCCCAAGATTCAGCAGCGAGTTCAGGCCGAGATCGACGCCGTGGTTGGTCGCGACCGCCTGCCCAGGATGGCCGACAAACCGGAACTGAACTTCACGCGGGCGGTCATCTGGGAGGTCCAACGCTTGTGTCCTGTTGTCCCGTTGGGCGTCGCGCATGCTGCCGCTTCCGATACCCAGTTCCACGGTTATACAGTACCAAAAGAAACAGTTCTTGTTTCAAACCTTTTGATGGTATTTCAAGATCCCAAAGTCTGGAGAGAGCCGCAGAAGTTTGACCCCGGGAGATTCCTGAACGAAGAGGGAAAAGCAATCAAGGCAGATGAATTGATTCCATTCAGTGTCGGTGAGAACCAAAAATTAAACAAATAGAAACAAAGACATCCCCAAAACAAAACGAACGAACAAACGAAAATAACTCAAAATGTAAGCATAAAAATCTACCCTCTGTCAGATGACACTTAAAAATGGAATAATATAAATCTTTTCGTTGCTTTTGTTTTAGGTAAACGCAGCTGCATCGGGGATAACCTGGCGAAGATGGAGCTATTCATCTTCTTCAGCTATTTCATGCATCAGTTTACCGTCAGGAAGCCGGACGACTCGCCCCCGTTGTCTCTAAAGGGAAATGTTGGTCTAATCAATCCGCCTGTGCCATTCCAAATCTGTATATGTAAGCGCGAGTAGTTCAAAATAAAGGAAAAAGAGGGCGTTCTAGCATTGCAACAGTGCATGTTTCCCTGCATGACCGTTGTGCAAGTTAATGCAAATTTTGACGTACATGTACATCGTACATTTACTGAATATGAACATGTATTCGTGCAGCGCACTCAATGTTGAATGATAACATGGTGAACATCCGAAGATTAAAGAACAGCACAGAATCAATATTATATTGGTTTATGCGATACACCTTTTAAACTTCACAGCCATTTCTGTCCATTATCACAGCTATCAAAATATATGACCAATGATCTTGTACACATGCAACCTTTATATTGACTTCATTGCTATAATATATCTTCATATTATATTGAAAACGAAGGCCTTTTCAAACGTTTATCTAGCGGTTGCGAGGGCTAAGTTTTCCCAAAGACAAGTTGTCTTTTAGGAAGAAAGCGCATTCGAAACCGTACTGCCACATATTGGGCTGGACAGTGAACCGCTAGGAAGTTTTCCGGAAAAAATTGCCCCCGTTTCGACCCACAACCTGAATACAACTGATGTCGTCTCCAGCGATATTCAACGCAAATGTTTAGCGACATCAAATCTGCTTCCCTTAAACGCGTTTGCCTGAAGCATGAACTGGCCTGAATGGGATAGCTAGTGGTTAGAATCATAACTACGGGTTTGACGGCAGTTGATGGTGATATACAGTTTTACTCTTGATATTGGTGCTGCCGTGATGCGTTATTCATGTACCAGTGATTTAGTCTACCCATTTTATTGTGCATTGATAAGCCTATTTAAAATGAATACTTGTCATAGATGATATTTTATGAAAAAAAAGCAGTAGATTCACACGGATGGCTTTAAGTGATCAAACTCCAAAAATAATATCGACTGACTCATGAAGTTCGACAACCGGAGGCTAGGCCTGGACCGGCACCACGCCACACACGAGATGCGCTGATCACCCAGAATAAAGGAATTCCCCTCCAAGGATTCTGATGTAAGGGAGTCGGTACACGTACCTAAATGTGTACACGTACACGTAT